TATCTTATTTCATTTCACAAGCGTAGGATAATAAAGAATTTCAATTTCAAAGACCTTTATTTATCTTTCGCTGTATTTGAATGCTAGTGAACATGCATAGTATAATGATTAACCAGGAAAAAAACAACTTATGTGAAAAGATAGTTATAAATACATGTAGTTCTCATTTTATTATGGCTAATCTTGGTAATGTAAAAACTGTTACTAAATTCAAAGGCTTGTGAAAATGGACTTCAAGTTGAATGTTTGCTAGCCTTTTTATAAATGTGATGTTGAATAAATGAAAAGTGCAGTAATCTATCAGGTTTATTGATAAATCAATTTATAACCACCGTTCTTAAAAAGGCTTTCTAAAACTGAGCTTGTAACCTATTTCTTTACTTAGACGGCATTCAATGGGTGCCAATTTGCTATAAGTCTGCATACGGAATGCAATAGATGCATGCTGAAAGTTCCATTTATCTAAATTAGATAAATTTCATTGGGCAAATAATTGTATAAAAGTCAAATCTGACCTGTCTAGTAAAGATTTTAGACATATATAGAGCCCAAATTCTTAACATAAGATAATCAATTGTATGATAAAACCAGGATGATAACAGACGGAATGTTCTTGGAATTATCAAAATAAAATTTGAAGTCACATATTCATTATTCATTTTATTCAACAAAAGTAAAGATCTTGCGATCTGGAAAACAATCTTTCCTGTTGTTTTTAAAAATATATGAACGATCATATGTTTTATTTGTTTTGAGATTGTAATGGAAACTATTAAGGAAGAATAAAGGTGTAACGTACTTCACCGAAATTTGTATCTATCTTTTTTATTCAAATTTAAACCTGTTAATCGTTTAATCCATATATATCAAGGAGAACGAAATGTCCGAACAAAAGACTTATGCCGTGACAAAGACATTTAATTGCTTATTTCACATAGAATTTTCTATCTTTGTAAAGTGCAACCAGACAAAAGTAAGGATAATCTAAAACGCATTAGTTTGAGATCATTGTATTGCTATCTTTTTAGTCTGGTTGTCTGACAAATGTAGTTTAATATGGGATTTATCCGAGTCACTACATAACAGTAATGTAAGTGTTGTGTATTTTGTCGACCAAAAAGCAGCGCATTTACTAATAATATCAAAGCTTTGGTATTCGTCGAAATAATATATTTCTTAGACAAAGTATTATTCTATCTGTTATTTGTAAACTGTATTTATAACTTGATGACAATCAACAAAGTATTGAAAATCTTCTTTCAGTGAATCATCAACGTATTTAATATCTTAATACTTTCAAGGCCTTAAATTGCAGAGTTTCTGACACAAATCTGTTTTGAATTCAAAATTTAATGGAATAAATGTTATTCTTGCAACATTTTTTTTTCAAATCTTAAAATCATTCTGAGCATTGATTTGCTATGGAATCTTCAAATGCCTTAAGCTACGTTTATCTCATTAATATGGATAAAACACTATGTTCAGCAGGTTATAATATTAGAAAAAAGATGAAAGCCATTATGTATGTGATATGTGCAATCAACAGCTCAACAAAACATCTTAGCATTATTACTTTTTTCTTTTTTTTGATATTGTAAAGGAAAATGACTTGATATGCGGAGATTGTTTTCTTACTTAATTATGCTTTTAAGTGCAAGTTAACAAAAATGAGATAAGCATGATTTCGTGCAACACTTGGTGTCTTCGGCTACACACATGGTTTAACATGTGCAATAAAGTTTAGCCAGGAGCAGATGTTTGAATAAAAAAGATAGATACAAGTAACATGTGATTTCAAAAAATAAGCACTGATGTCAAATTAAAATATAAGTGTTCATAAAATATCCTTTGTCCAATGTTTTGTTTGCTAGTTTCTTTTTTTCTTTTTCTATTTTAATTGTTTTCTTAAGCGGACATTTACAATTATACACGTACCTTATATTTTTAATAAATATGGAATAAGATAATAAATATTTCTATCTCAAGCACTACTACTAAACATATGTATTTTAACACATACATTTAAAAAAGAGACTAGTCTATGTTGTTGAAGGGTAAAGTCTGATAAGATAACTGAAAACTTAAGATTGAGTCGCAAATATAACTGAAGTCGCAATTATATTAATGGAAATAAAAGGCAAGGCAAAAGTATCGTTAGTTAAAAAAGGCTTGAAGATAACTACATAACTACTAGGTACTCGGTTAAATTTTAAAGTATTTAATTCAAACCATTGAAGAAACAGTGCACATTTTATGTAATAACATCCTTGTTACAATCTTAATTATATATGGATTTTTGTCCTGTTATCTGCTCATCGTTTTTCAAATTGAAAAATTATTGCATTTGCCCGAGGTTTCATTATATTTTTAATAGAAACAAAATTAATGATTTGAAGAAATGAAACGTAAGGGATAATGATTTTACTTTACCCATTACCACATTTCTTTGTAAGATTTATTGTTTTTACATATTCATACGCATGAAAAAGTATATTTGGGTCTTTGTAAGGTATGATGATGTCCGTCTGTCTGTTCGGGCAAACATCCAATGGTTAATGATCTTCTTTCAATCTTTTATCTAAATTAAACAAGACATTTTGATTAGAAATTTTCACTGGTTTATGTTGAACAAATGTCACATAATGTATGAACGTCCGTACACGAATAACATCCAGTTGGTCGTCGTTAAGTACACAATTGGTTTCCGCAATTACAGTTGAAGTGAATATAATATTTTATTTTCATTATGTTTTCTGTCAGATTTGTTTAAAATAATTTTAATGTTTGTATGTAACGGTTTCAACCGGACATCTTTTGAAGTATTTCAATGTAAGTATTCCATGATTTCGGTCGTATATATGTTTTAAGACAGACCCTTAGCGTTGGTATGGCATGAATTCCGCCTTAGATCTTTGGAAGTACCTCAACGTTGGTCTCTTCCGGATATATCATAAACTAAAGTATTTCAATGCTGGTATGTCAATTTATTATATCCATGTTTAGTTCGAAGATTTTCTTTTCATTTTTCACAATTATGTATGTTTATATCCGATAGGTGAATTTTTTTCTGATCGTGTGTGTTTTGAACGAGTTTTTTTTTAAATCATATATGACTGTGCTGTGTAATTTAGAAATGTTCATATTATTCAATGTTTCAATTTTACTCTGTGCTTTATTCTTTTAAGCGAGCTATAATCCACTTAAGCATTAAAAATAATTGACATTTGAACAAGTTTTTAGTAGAGACATGTATTCATGAAAATTACCTTCTATTACAATTATGTTATTTGATTAACTCAAGAAGTGATATTGTATGTGCAATCTTTGATGTATTAAACGCATATGTATCGTCATCAGTGTCACCAGCAACAATATATGAGCCGCGTCACGACAAAAACAACATAATGGGTTTGCGACCAGCATGGATCCAGACCTGCCTGCGCATCCGCGCAATCTGATTAGGATCCATGCTGTTCGCTATCAGTTTCTCTACTTGTAATAGAGTTGGTAAGCGAACAGTATGGATCCTGATCAGACTGCGCGGATGCGCAGGCTGGTCTGGATCCATGCTGGTCGCAAACGCACTATGTTGGTTTTGTAGTGACGCGGCTCATATTTGCTAGAAACTTTAAAACATGTTTTAGCTTGATAATTGGGGACCAAGGTGAATTAACAAGCATTGTATTTGTTTCTGTTCTAAACAAACTGAGTACATATTGAATGTTAATGCAGTTAAATGATATTATTGTATAATACAATTTCTAAGTCCTTAAAAAGTGTTTTTAAAGTTCTGTTATTGTATAATCCACATCTGATTTCTTAGAATTATGATACATTTTTTTTCTGGTGGACGAATTCAATTTTGAAATAAAATATAGCTAGAGGACCGCATTCTTCATTGAGGACCAACTAATGCTCTCTGGAAGTGCTCTCGGTATAGAAAATTGTGATTTGTTTCGATCTAAGGACACAAAAGATTTTCCTTCTTTAATAAATCATTATGTTTCTCTTCCAGCATAATTTCGAGCCAAAATCAAAGATAAATTTAAATAAAAGTAATAGAAAAAACCATCTTCTTCTTTGGATAATGAGTTTTCCAAATCACAAAGAGATCTGTAATAGTGCATTTTTACCAATAAAATTCAAGATTAAGTTAATTAATATTTTAGCTATTATATTTAATGCATTTCTTGTTAATTGATAATATAAACCATTAGAGAATGGTTAGAGATGTCTGACAAACATCTTGTTAACAAGAAGATACTCAATACCTCAGAATGTAACTAAACTCGTGATAACAAATGTTCTTAAGAAGGATCTACTTGACAGTTCTCTATATATCGAGTTTATACAACTCTTTTAAGTTGCCTTATACCTGATAGCTATGAAGGTCAGTATCTCGTATATTTCCATTATAACCAACGATAGATGGGAAAATACATATTGGACAGGGATACTGATCCTGTTTTATTCAATCTGTCGTTTCACGGTTGCTACTCATTGTGTATTAGCATCTTCGTAACAAGCTATTTAAATCTTCTATGAAGCGTTCATAAATGTATTAATATCGTATTCCTTTTATTACTATCTCTTTTGTCTCATGTCTGACAAATGTGATAAATAAATGGTCTTTGTCTAGGGCATCAGAAAAAGAACAAATCAATAACGTCCAGTCTGTGTATCGAAATATCAAAAGAAATGGCTTAGATGGCTCTTAGATTACCAAATTAAAATAATAAAAATTCTTTGGTTTACATCGTTTGATAAATAGAGTTGAAAAAAAGATGCATTTCAATGTCTGAAATCTTAGGAGATGATACTGGACAAGAGAACAAAAAGTGCTTCCATAGGATGTTTTTGTTTTGTTTTTTTCATTTGTTTTATACAAAATTGCCATAAATGGGAACAAAATCATGTAGAGGAAACGATCCTACCGATTATGCCTCGTAAAATTACAACTACAAATCCTCTGGCTGACTGATGAAAAATAAAAAGACAAATCTCGTTTCAATGTTTTAATCAAATGAACGCTGAGATAAAATGGAATGGTTAATAATTATGCATTGTTTTATATATAACTTTGTAACATTTATATGATAGCTGTTTGCAAAGGAATGGAGATCTTCCATGTCCCCCAGCTTATCAGCCACAATATTTTCAACAAAAACTATTATAATCTATGAACAATAATGATGTAAAACTGGTAAAAGTTTAATATACATTGTCATAATATATAACAGATTTAACATGTTAGATAATTACAGAGCTACTGTTTGATACATTTATGCTCAAAGCCAACCCAATGTTTGTAACAATAGCTCATAACAGTGTCATAAATTGCTACAATATAAACTACAAACATTTTGCTACAAGTTCAACGGTTAGTAGTAACACACAAATAACACATCATGATGCTTTTATTGAATATCTAGTATTGTCATATATTTTAAATGCGTACAAACACTTTATCATAATTTCCGTTTTTCTAAGCATATCATATTGGTTTGAAGCAAGTCAAACATCATCCAATAAGAAAAAGTCATGTGTATTTATTATTATATAAACAATATTCTTTATAAAACTGCAAAGAAAATTTATTCAAATCAAACTAACATATGATAATTATACTACTTATTTTGTATAAACTGGTGTTTTCAAAACCGGATTTGAAACTTTAACTCTTTAACTTGTCTTGTCGTACAAGAAAATGATAAGCCTTTGTAACCAGTATAGAGCCAGTCCAACCTACACGTACATGTTGTCTGACCAGGCCCTATACTGTTTGCTGGCTTACCTTTGATTTTAAGATCGGACAGGTCCAGAAACGGATGTTTGAAATGTCCATTTTAGAATGTCAGCGGGTTTACTGTTAATTCAAATGATTTAATGATACAAGTTAAAAACTATCTCAAAATGAAGTATAATAATTATAAATTTATGAATCCCTAATACGGTCTTATATAATATATAATATGTAAGTCTATCATTTTTATAAAAAAAAGACTTGTGTTAAATACATGTAAAACAAAAAAAGTATGCGTTACAGACTCAAATACTTTCCGGATGGAGCAAAAATGATAAAACAATATTTTTCTTCAAAATAAGTATAAAGGTTTATTAAAATTTCCATTATTTTCAATATCAAGTGCTTCTTAGGATAAGTAAAATTTCAATTGTCAAGACAAAAATACAAACAATTTTATTAATAAGCTGATGCGAACAAAACACGATATAAACTAAATCAATCTAAAAATAAGTAAAATGAGGAGCACCTTTGAAAGTATTTCAAAAATGATGTTAACAATTTTTTTATTAATGAACGCTTAACTCGTATATGAAGACGATTAAAAGTTATATTCAGAACCCTGTTAACATGGAAGATTTATACAGTACACAGTACTTTTACACACAGTACGCTTTTACAAAGTTGCCCTGGGCTAAGTTTTGGGTGAAGATGTGTATATCAGGAAAACGTTCTTTGCTCCAATTGTAAAACCACCTTTTGAACAAATACGTCGTATACTTCTTTGATTCTGTTTTTTTTCTTTCACGGGAATTGTGCAGAGATAAAATAATAAGAATAAGAAATAGCATACAATGTATTCACAAATACACGCAGACTACGAATTTTGAACATTTACATTTATAATTGGTAAATAGTTTGCAATCCTTATGATTGGATAATAATAAGGTTTCCTACAGACATAAAGTATGGCAATACTCACTTTGTCATTAAAGGGCGATTTCAGGGCTTTCTTTGGCAACACATTATGTAAGTTTATCTAGAAATTATCGATGAAATCTTTGATCGAAACGTTAGAATCATTTATTTAATTTTTATTCCGTTATTTCTAGCAAACCAGTCTTGCTTTCATGTTAAAACAATTGTTGAGTTCTAATATTCGAAATTGTGTAACTTCCTACACTACATGACCCTTATTTGTCAAATTCAGATCAATATAACAATGGATTATATAAGGAAATATCTACAACGTTTTTGTTAAAAGAACACGTGTCAATGTTTGTGGTTAAACCTTTTTTTATTCAAATCAAAAGGCCAGAGTTCGGATATATCAATTGGCAGTAATAATTAATTAAGTTGATTTTATAGAATTGCACAACATTATTTATGTGCTATAAATCATTTACAATTTTAACTGTGGACAAATCGGAGAACTGTAGAGGTTTATTTTAAACATAAAATCTTTATTTCTAGCAAATCCGTTTACGCTTCACTGATGCCTCTAACGTGTTACGCATGCGCATACCCTTTGTCTATTGCCAACTTCACGGGTTGATGTCGCTTTAAATGATCACAGCAGTATAAAATCCTGAAACAGTATTGCAAAGGTTATCAATATACGAACGATATATTGTCAGGAATCGTTAAATAGTATACTAGTCAGTTTGAGTTTGTCAGAACTTTCACAAAGATTTTTTATTCAAAGACAATCTACTCTTTTGTATAATAGAATACCATTTGTGTTGAAAATAACTGCATATTAATATAAGAAGTCTAATCATGCAAAGAACTATTCTAATATTGGAAATTTTTTGCATTACTAAGTATCAATACTTGCGCAAAAAACCAATTTTAATTTGTTAGTACATGTATCTATAATTTACTTAGAATACATACACAGATATATCTAGCCAGTGTGACTGTTTACGTATCGACGTCATACTTCTGAAAAGAAAAGAAAACTAAGTTAGCACCGGACATGTATAGATAATGTATATAACACAAAGTGATTGATTTACACCACGCAAACACTTACTTTTTGTTCGTCAATAAGCTTTTTATTGGCATCATGATTACACGTTTTTCATTGACATTCTAATATCTTGCTCAAAGTGTGCAATGTAACATTAAAGTTTCGATTTTTAAATGACAATTAGAAATTACGCAATTTCGTCATAAAAATAAAAGTATAATTTCAGCAGACGAAACATTTAAACGTGTTTTCGCATACTACCTCAAATTTAATGCAATATGTTGACATTTGTTTTAAGAGTTATATTAGATCATGCACATACATTTTATGCACGATAGTTGTATAGTCAGAATCTTGTGTGCGAATTTAATAAATCTGGATAATTAGAATCGATCGTTTCCGTTCTTCTCTAATAATTCACGTCATCGTGTGCAGTATTTTGCAATTAACGCCTTAAGCGATATTTATATCTATTATGCGCAATCATGTAAAAACCGCTTGCAATGGGTTATTAGATATAGTAGATGGATGGCAGGAACTAGATCTTTGACGTGGGCACGTTGCAGTTTATCAACTTAATTAGATCTTTAGCTTTATAATGTTTGAAACAATATCCTATCGGCAACCTTATCTTTAAAATTATATTTACACTCTTATTCCTCGTATAAGCTTAAGTTTTACAATACCTCTTTTTACATTAGATAATTGTTTGTGACAAAGAGATGTAGTACATTTTAATATGATTGAAACTAACTCTGTTTCGATTGATTTTGGCAACATTGTATCATTGCACTGTACTAATATTATTTTTGTCCTGTGAAATGAAAAACTTAGTACATTGTATGTTTAAACAAATAATACTACGGTCCGTCCGTCCTTCCGTCCGTCATTCAGTCAGTCAGTCAGTCAGTCAGTCAGTCAGTTAGTTAGTTAGTATTTTAGTTAGTTAGTTAGCATTTAGAATAGCTCATATATATGTATGATTTTAAATGTATTGTATGAACTTTCTTTCGCTTAAAACTGAAGTTATTTAAATTATAATTGAAAAAAAGTTGTTTGCTCAATCTATAACATTGTCTAGTGTTCATGCCCATTACCTTCATAGCTTTCTGATAAATGGCAATTTTGTTCAATTAAGTGAATCAATATTAAAGTTTCAAAATAAACATTTCGTTACCAGCATTACTTAGATAAAAATAATGTATTGCATTATAGATTAAAGCTTTATATATTCAAATATTTTCAACACCCTTAATCCATTCAGTAAAAGGCTATACCTTATGTACAGAGGCTAAAACAGACCTGGCTTCCGCTCAAGCACCAGAAACTTATGCAAGAACTTAAACGGACTCCACTTAGGGTGTTTTTCTACAGAGTTTTGTATTTTTTATGTAGATATAGGCCAAATAATTGTGTGCAAACTTCCATATATCCTTTGGTTACTTTATTTTTCTCGAATAATCATCTGAATTGTGAAAAATTATCCAAAAATGAAAATTGATTTGAGGCTTTTAACTATTATGAATCACAAAAAAATCTATCTTCAATTTAAATCTGAGCATATTTCTTTATCATTTGCACAATTTCCATTTTTAGTTCACTAGTTACCCTATGTATTTCGGCCTTTGAGCCGAAATATTTAAATATTATTAAATATTATTTAAAATAATGTACCATATTGTTTTAAACTGTTTCATTAATTATACGTAGCATTGATATTTTAAAATACATGTTTAATCCAAGCATTGAAAGAATTTGTTTTAGGCGGCGCACTTTATTTTCATATTTGGGCGTGCATATATTTGAAATATTTAAGTTATGTTGGTAAAATACCAAAATTAAAGTATTAAACAGATTTGTAAATGTTCTGAGGGGCACTTTCTTCAAATGCAGTTCCATGTTCAGTAATTAGTCTAATTAGAATGTTAGTTCTATCGTTAAGACGTTTGAATAATGAGTAAGGGAAATTAATGCAATTACAACTGAAGAAATTGCAACGTCGTTAATCATAATTGAGTGTAATTAAGACTGTAGTATAATTAACGGTTCTTGTGCAGACCGGTATTTTCAGAAATGTACTATTTATTATTGTCTTGATTTCAAAGAAAACATATTATATCTGACAACCGACGGGAAACTTCTGCTTAGAGAAATACTATGCTCAAATTTGATATTAGAAAATATTGATAAATGTAACACATTTTTCCTCTTTTTTAATATAAAATAAACATGTTTTGACTTCACGAAAAGTGTATATGTTATGTTTAAAATTCTACAAACTATAGGTGTTAACAAAATGAACATATAGTGTCATGAAAAAACTGGCAGCCTTTTTTTTTTAAAGAAGGGGCCAACTTTACTATTTAACCTGAAATAGGAAACGCAGCTTCCAATACATAGTTTATTCATTCTGTTATTCAAAATTAGACAGTAATTCAGTAAGAATTTCATAGATTTCAATATATTTCTGTGATTAGAATACTTAACTCAAGCTTAAGCATAGTACATGTACAACTTTAGTAAATATCTATTGAATAATATTTAAAAGTGAACGTTTCATGATACTCGACATAACAACACAACTACAGATGTGCATTACAACCTTCGTATTTAAATGTTGAAATTCTGCTTCGGTCGACGATTAAAGGAAAGAGAGGACGGCAGCATGTCCAATTGTGTCTAAAAAATTGATAATAACCATAAAAGTTCCCATTCCAACCAGATCTTGGTCGTTTGCATTATATAATTACCATGTAGATTAAATACAAGCAGAACAAAAGATAATTATATTACCTACCGTACTCCTTACATTACCCTTTGATACCAAACTTAAGAAATCAACTACTTACTGTCAACATCTTGAAGAGTGTCAAACGATCGCCTTCGTCTTCCCAAACCTGGCCTTCCTCTTTCACCTCTTCCTCCACCCTGTAATACACAAGTCAATTTTGCTGAATAAGTACAAAATCTATTAATCTTAGTGTTAACTATTATGTAACGTTACCTACTTAAAAACAACAACACAAGTTTATTTGTACGTGTCATATATCTTAACATTTTGATTTCCATCAGTAGAACAATTTTAGCACAAAGTTTACTCGTAATGTGTAACTGTACCTTCATATTTAAAACTTAAGAAAAGATAGATTTCTGATTCTTTCCAAAGCTTAAAAGTAAACAAACAAAAAACTTGTGACTATTTTGCAACCATAAGATATTTAAATTTGTTGAAAAAAACCATTTCGATGAAATTTGGTTGTTGTTGTTGTTGTGTTCTCTTTTGCAATATTTATTACTCTTATCAGTTATAAAAGTAAAAATATCAAAAATATTTTAAAAAATTGTAATAAATGATTTCCTTACAGATTGTTTATCGCCAGCCACAGACCGTGGAGAGACACTGTTAGCACGGCTATGTTTTGGCGGCAGAACAGTCGGCTGAGGTATATCTAAACCTTTAACATCTTCGTGTCCACAGAGGGGATACCAGTGGGGCATGTTATCTAAAAATGCTTCCTCTGAAATTCGAAGAAACAATGATTTTTCAAAAATCTTTTACCACATTGAAATAGCGTGATAACAAACATAGCCTATGATTTGTACATTCTGATCTATATTGATAATAATAATGGAGATATTGGAAGAATTATTTTATCTTTGATTCACTTCATTTTTTTACTGATAACTAAGTATCTATATATTCCCTGTGATTGTTCTTTCGAGTTCTACTAGACTTTAAATCTTCTCTTTATTATTAGAATTATTTCAATATTGTTTGTACTACTATTTTATCATTAGTTCTGATGAATGAAGCATTCAAGAACTTAATTGATGATTATCGCCGGCTTTTTTCTCGGTTATAGATGGATGAAAATTCTTCTAAAGGTGTACCACATATTGGCAATAGAAAATGAATCTTTTTATGATGTTCATTATCACAAATACGCGAGTTTCTATTAGAAAAAGAAGGAAATAGCAAAACGAAATACTAGTAAAAGCTTCTACAAGCTAGACCATGTTTCAGACAACTTAATTTTTTTTGTATAAAAAGTAAATTATCTTAAGATATAGAATATAAAGCAAATAAAGCACCTTAGCACAATCAAATGATCGTAGTCTATCAAGACTATTAAGCCTAAGTTAATATACTGTTAGACCAGAAAGGACTTTCTTTAGTTGTTTATTGTCAATCAAATACTAGTAAATCCATTTAATATATAGAATATACTGATCAAGATCGAAATATTATCTGCAATATTGTCTTCCCAAACAGAACATGTCATATAGGATGAAAACACTAATGATGTTTTACTGAATTGATCGTACCTGAGAAATCTATAACCACTTCTCCAAGGAAGTCATTGGCCTTAAATCTGTCATAATCCCAAACAGTCACTTCTAAAGTTTTATTTCTGAGCTCTTCAATATGAACATCAGGAAACACCACCGTCTCGTTCCATTCAGGGTTCAGAGTTCGAGCTATATGTTTTGTTCGTCTTTTATTGTCCGCACTAGAAAGAAGAAGAAAATAACAACGAATAATCAACACTATGCGGGTCAGATTTTACAACGAAACTCCGATACTTTCAATGGTATAATTTCTGCCTCGGATTTATAACAAAATATCAAGTAAGAGATAAAAGATATTTTCATTTTCGTGGATCATTTTTATCATTTTTTTACAACAGAGAGGAATATTACATTCTTTTTTGCAGATAGTATTTCTGTATACAAATTGATATTTAAATACTTTAACTTTTAACTTCTATTCTACAAACATATGATTTATTGTACTTTTATGCAACAGGTATGTATTTAATCATGAATTCCAATATAAATAATGTTAACTATATTGCCCTTTGTTGATTTTTTCGGTAAAACTTAAGTGCGTTACTAAGAATAGTTAAATAACTTTGTTGTCATTGTGAAATAATAATCGTCCTTAATCTAACATTGCTAATTGTTCTATTAGATGTTCTGCATGTAGAAAGATTTCAGTTGATTAAAAGTTGCTTGTTTATAGCAAATATATATAAGACGGACAATTCACATATCTACACTGTTCCTTGCAACAAATAGTTGTGTTTATCACTTTCATCAACTGGCCTAGTAATCTTCAATACGATATTTTTAACAATATACAATGTAAGAAACATGGGATTTTTAAAGGTCGCTCGACAAATGAAAACGTTGCTAATTTTGATTTGACCTCTTCATGGACGGAAGAGGTAAATGAAAACCTAAGATCTGCACCTTCTAGTTTGCAGAGGTTGCCCAAAAGCAAATAATGACTTCTCAATGGTCGATTTTGGATCTGAAGTGATTAAAACCATTAGAATTATTTGATAGCGTGCTTATATATCAATTTATAATTTTGCTTTTTCATATCAACATGCCTGCAATGGTTATGCAAGAACAAATAGAAAACAGAAAGAGGACACAATTTGCACGAAGTTTAGCTCAGAAGAAAGATCATTCAAACATTAGATAGCCATTTTGGAAACATATCACGTGTGTGAAATGGAAAGATAACAGCCAAGCAGAGAAAATAAGTATCCAATCACATTGCAGGAAACTGTATATATTTAGATTTGAGGTTGGGAGAATTAGCGTACAATCATTAGATAACAGAACAAGCTTTGTTGCACGGAAAGTACAATAACATGGCTTTTGAGATTACACAAATGATAATTCCCATTGTTTCTTACCAAATAGCTCCTTGACTGCGTGTTACATAACAAAGGGAAATTACTCTAACATTCTTGGAGATACAAATAGGGCAAAATATTAACACAACAGTAATTCACAGATCGGGACATTCGTCAAAACTCTCGATATTTTCATTCACTCAAAATATAATATTATAATTGCATTCCAATGATAAAGCTGAAATACTTATGTATGTATGTAAATTTGCAGATTGACAATTTCGGATTCCTATAATATACATGTCCACCATTTTGGCAATAATTAGCGTGATATTTATATGCTGAACGTTTGTAATACCACTTTTGATTGGTTTGCATTGTTTTTTATTTTTCTATACTCGCGAATGCTGCAATTTTTTCTTCTCTAATTAAGGAATTGCGCTATATTGTAAAGTAGTTTCAAATAAGATTCTTATCATGTTTAATAGTCTTAGAAAAAACGGTAGATTGCAATATACAATCTTTGCTATTGCAATTAAAGGAATGTTTTACTCAGCAATATGAAAATATAATAATCAAATATGCATCAGCCATTGTGTACATAAATAGTTTGATTTAATTCATTGTTTAACTCCCAATTTGTAAACAGAAATATTCGTAACTAACCACACGTTTTGGAGAACAGGAAATATTGTCAAAAAAGGCTTATTGTAATCGGTCAACCACTTTCAGCCAGTTTAGGAAACATCAAGGATAAATACTGAGAAAAATTGACCAAATGAATGACACTTAACAAAGTTAATACTCATACTTGAGCACGAGTACCTACCAGCGTCCGGGTAAGAGGTAGAGTTTAACAAAGGGATCCGATAATCCATTAAGATCCATCGGTAGTAGGTTTCTAGCTTGAATCACGTGACATTTGAACTCGCTGTTGTGTTCATCATGGTGAAGCTTCAGCTATGATGAATACAACGTAAATAAAAGGCATGTTATATATTTGTGAATTTTGTTAGAAATATAAAACTGATTTGATTAACACAGAATAACAATTACATGTATATGAAAGTAAATTATCAAAATCAAAAAAATCAAATGTTTTTTTTTCTTTTGCCTCTTAATAATCCATTACGTCATTTTATCAGTGTGTAATATGTCATTTATGTCATTTATGTATCATATTGCATCTACACCATGTGTACTTTTAAGGACTTAACGAACAAGAAAACTATTAAACAGTGGTTAAAAGTTATAGTAGTTAAACCTATAGGCACTGGCCTTATTTACAAATTTTAATTTTTTCATCATCATTATTTAGATAGTAGCAATATGTACCTGGATATCTCCCATCTGTCGGTTCCCCCGACTGGATCCTTTTGGTGACTGAATACAAAATAAATATATATCTATGAATTGATACATTTATTTAGATAAAATACAAACTTTTTGTGCTGTCTCAAGCTGTAAAAACAACAACATAGAGAAACATTGAGTTATGGGTCATTTTTTTAAGAAATAAAACATTGCCTCCGGATGATCAAAGGTACTAAACCAATGTCTGGATGCAGATTTGAAAATATATGATACGAAATCAATGAAAGGACCGTTAATTTCTACGAGTTAATGACAAATTCACCATTTCAGAAAAACAATATTAAGAAATTGCAAAAAATAAGAATAAGGGAGCAAACTACAACAGGACTAGTCCATGTTTTTGCATAATATGTTGTTATTACCTCCCTTATGCTACATAAATTTCATTAAATAAAACTGCAAAATAATCATACTTTCTTAATTTCATCTTCTGATTGCCTTCGGGCCAATTCGCTGGCGGATGATGATAAACCTCGTTTTGAAGGTCTTTTCGACGGCGACATCTGTTTCCCATCGACCCCAGCGTGTTGTGACATACGAATAAAGTCATCAAATGAGTTTGACTGTTGATTAAGCTCCTTTTTCTTCTGTTCTGATTTTTCACTTTGCTGTTTGTCGAACTTGGGAGGTGATCTGCTTGGCGTGCTGCATGCAGCACGATAGGATGGTGGTTCTAATGACGTGGTTGGTTTAGATCGAGGTTGTGGTTTGGGTTGTTGCTTAGGCGGTGTCGGAGAATCATGGGATTTGTACATGTATTCAGACGAGGATTGTGAGCTTTTTATAGACTGGTCATGAGAAACGGTCGGTAACTGACCCTGGCTGCCGTATCGTGAACGATTATTTGAAGATTTTGTTACGGCCTTCCTCTGAAGATGTGTTGGAGACGACACACATGCCGTGGCTGTTGCTATAACTCGTTTATTACGTTTCTGGTCGGAAGACGTTGACGTAGGCTCAGACATGGGTGAGCTGCACCCTGAGGATGCACTAGCTGTGTTCGAGTCCTGCTGGGAAGATGAATGAGACATACATGGTGACTCATCCTCCTCGATCTCTTCTAAGGTGGCGGCCAGTTGCTTTGGGTCAACACCTTGTTGTTGGGCTGGCCTTCGTTTAATTTCTGAAATGGGGGTGATTCCAATGCCTTAGTAAGTTTAAAGAAAAAAACACAATGTTGAGTTGTGTAAGCTAAGAATCAAGCAATATGATTAACAATTGTATTTTACACAAGACATTGTATTGTAAAGTCAAGTTGGAAATATCACGATCTAAATTTGTATCATTTATCCATATGCACCAAGTGTAAATGTTGTAGTAATAACGTTAAAAATTCAAACGTTATGTTTCTATGTCACTGTATAAGGCCTTCGTATTGTATTTTGTAACGTTACACGCGTGCATAGTCATAGTATATGTTTGTAGTGTTTACAATTGTTATCTCCCTTGTTTGAATTACATCATTTATTACCAGTTTTTGCACTAGTCCATAACCTTGAACGCAAACAATTTTAACGATTTACAGACTTATATACTACTCATCAGCGACATTGGACAGGAGAACGAGATTTAATTATTGTTTCTGGAATAGCATATGTTTAATAATATATTACGTTTAGCAGAAGTAAACGTGTATTGATTCAAATTGCTAAGATGACTCTCTCTCGTATGTATGGATATATTTCATTGACTATAATGGTATAGTAAATTGATACTGATCATATTAATTTCAAATGTTTAAAATTTAGAAAGTAACATCATCTAAGAATTATTAAAAATCGTTTGTTTTGTTAGAACTGAGATTTAATATTCACACCGTACAATCAAATGGGCAGACAGCTGTTCCAGCGTCGACAGCTGTACCAGTATATACATGTCGGCGTGGGGAATGCAATTGACGTACGGTAAGTATTCATATATTTTTAACATATCCCAACTGTGTTCGAGTAAATCAATGTTATTAATTCATAGTCAACATCCAAAGGAGCATGCTTACAAATTTCTGGCCCTGTGCAAGCTTTACTTCACGTGAATTTTGACTGAAAATAACCACACTATCCGATGAGATGCGGTATTTTGAGTTTAAAGTCACAAATTCTTATATTTTCTCATGATAATAAATCCTTTTTTCATACGATTCGTAAGCGTCAACATTTCGTCATTAAATATTCCAAACCATACCTTCAAAAAAGCTTTTCTGTTAAAGTTATAAGGTATTTAAGTTTGAGTGTCATCAAAATTTTAGTAACGTCATCAGCTGTTCGCCTCTTTTTAATGATAACATCGACAGTAATCCATCGGTAACAATGAATAACGCTGAAAGCCGTTCGAAGAAACAATTTTCAGCGCTTTTGTGCTACAGTAACAAGGTAAGAGTAAAACTTTTTTGTTCATTTAAAATATTACTTTAATCATAATACTTTCTAATTATATTATTTTTATTATTACTTTTTATTATTTGTTGTATCTTAGCTGAGAGACCTTTATCTCCATTTACTGTATTTCAATATAAAAAGGTAGCAAGATCTATTAAAGGGACTCCATTAAGGTTTTTTGACATGACGGGACTTCAAATATTTTTTTGAGATTATTTCTCCATTTGATTTAGATCTATACTAATAACTTATGTGCAAAATTTCCGATCATTAGGTTTATGAAATGTTTAATTCAAAAGGCAAAGGCAAATTTAACGCTTAATACGAATATTCAGTCTTGTAAATGAAGGCATCCATCAAGTGTTATTATAAATAAAGGCATATAGTGGACAAGTCCTATGCAGTGAATGGCTGTGTAACCCGAGAAATGAAAGTGCATGGATAAATAATGCGGAGCCATGTTTGCATTCTCGCAGAGGGGTTACATTTTATAGGATATACATATTCAGACTATGGTACAAAAGAGAACGAACATCAAATCATTCAGCTATTTGATTTGTATAAGCGGGGGATATGCAAATCAGAAAGTTGTGTGTTTATATGTTTATTCTATGACTTTACCTTCATGTGCGATTAGAAACAAACAGACTTTTGGAAAATCACATAGACACTTATAAACAATAAATGTATAAAACAGATCGCCTTGCAAAGAAGTATCGTTAACGTTTGTGGTAAGTCAAAGTGTTTTTCCCTTTTAATGATATTTCGAGATATATTGTAAACACTTAAAATTTATGTTAATTAAGTCAACGGGTAAAAACTAGGACAGATCTGATACGTGGAATCTTTTATACATTCATAGGAACATAATTTTGTGCCGTCTATAGATACCTTGAAAAGCGGAAATGCACATTAAACAATTTTCGCGTTGAGGCCGGGACTAAGATAAATATAAAATGTCAAATCAAGTAAGAAATAAAATGAAATAAAACGAAGCCTAAATGATATAAACCTTTATAGAGGCTCTGATATTATTCATTTTTGGAGCTCCTTAAAACGAAATTTTCTGAAATGCATTCTAGGTTAACAGCTCCCTAAATTCTTTATATAAAATTTCTGAGAATACTTACAAACTTGAATATATCCATCCATCCATCAATCCATCCATATATTGAATACGGAAAAACATGTTGTTTTTGATCCTTAAAATCTGTTTTAATGTATAGTGCAATAGAAATAAAAATCATTCTTAAAAATTATTTAAATTTTTATGTTTTAAATAAATCATGTTATATGGCAGACATCTCGGGTTACACATCCATTAACTGCATGGGACATGTCTTCTATATGCCGTTACTTATAATAACACTTGATGGATGCCTTTATTTATCATACAGAGTATTCGTATTAAGCGTTAAATTTGCCTTTACTTTCTTTGAATTTAACTTTTCAGAAACATATTAATAGATCTTGCTACCTTTTTATATTGAAATACAGTGCGGTAAATGGAGATAAAGGCCTCTCAGCTAAGATACAACAAATAATAGAAAGTAATAATAAAAATAATATAATTAGAAAGTATCATGAATAAAGTAATATTTAAAATGAACAAAAAAGTTTTACTCTTTCCTAGTTACTGTAGCACAAAAGCGCTGAAAATTGTTTCTTTGAACGGCTTTCAGCGTTATTCATTGTTGCCGACTGATTGCTGTCGATGTTATCATTAAAAAGAGGCGAACAGCTGATGACGTTACTAAAATTTTGATGACACTCAAACATAAATACCTTATACCTTTAACAGAAAAGCTTTTTTGAAGGTATGGTTTGGAATATATAATGACGAAATGTTGACGCTTACGAATTGTATGAAAAATGGATTTATTCTCATGAGAAAATATAAGTTTTTTTTTTACTTTAAACTAAAAATACCGCATCTCATCGGATAGTGTGGTTATTTTCAGTCAAAATTCACGTGAAGTAAAGCTTGCACAGGGCCAGAAATTTGTAAGCATGCTCCTTTGGATGTTGACTATGAATCCATAACATTGTTTTACTCGAACACAGTTGGGATATGTTAAAAATAGATGAATATTTACCGTACGTCAATTACATTCCCCGCACCGACATGTATATACTGGTACAGCTGTCGACGCTGGAACAGCTGTCTGCCCATTTGATTGTACGGTGTGATATTGTGTTTTCTAGATAATTTATGATTGTTTTGGTATTGTTTCCGTTCTGACGGCTTTATGGTGTGAACGAGAACGTTGTACATCTTAATAAAATCAGTCACGAACTATCTTCTGATTGAATAAGTGTCGTTGTGAGTCTTTAATCCTTATCCTGCAGAATTTCTTAAACGGGCTTGTCCAACTTTCTTTTCTTTTAAAGTTTCAATTTCTAATTTTGGAGATATTAAAAGGAAATGTTAAAATTGCCAGCTAACAGTATAGATTTTGGTCAGACTGCGCCGTAAGTGCAGGCTGGCCTGGATCTATACATGTGACAAAGGCCAACCACTTCCGGTTCAAGCCGGAAGTTGTACTCACCGCTCTCCTCATCACTCTCAAGATTATCGTAAGAGGAATGACAGCTTGGTGCTTGAGCAGTGGTTTCTCCCATCACTTTCTTTGATATCATTGAACTGTAAACATAATAACACGTTACTTACGGTTTAGTTCTATCTATATAAACCGTCCTCATAAAAATGTTATTTTGATTTTATGTTTATAAAAGTGCTGTGCTATTTGTATGTAAAGGTTTTTTGAATATACAATTTTGTGATTCAAAAGTGGTGTGCTTTTCGCAGTTTATCACGTTGAAACCATTAAAATGTTAAAATATAAAAGCGTTACTAACGGTATCACATATCTATTTCTGCCCTTCCGATAAAAAGTCATATTAGGCATGTTGTTTAAAAATAAAATTATATTAAATAGTCTTTTATATGAGCCGAGTCACGACAAAATCAACATAATGGGTTTGCGACCAGCATGGATCCAGACCAGCCTGCGCATCCGCACAGTCTGATCAGGATCCATGCATTTCGCTGTTAGTTTCTTCACTTGTAATAGAGTTTATAAGCGAACAGCATAGATCCTGATCAGACTGCGCGTATGCGCTGGCTGGTCTGGATCCATGCTGGTCGCAAACCCACTATGTTGGTTTTGTCGTGACGCGGCTCATATGTCTTATGAAACATTAAGGAGTTTAGATGATGGTATATAGAGTACAACATCTGCACAGCATTATATATGGATATGTATTAAAATTTCTCTTCATATCAAATAGGATGCACGCTATCGGACTTCTATGTAGAAGCTGTAAAGCATTCAGTTTTAGGTACAAGAGATATAACAGTTATTTATTTAAATACAAATATTGAATTTACCGACAAAAAATCATAATAGGCATATAGAACTACTTAGAAAATACTTTGAAAGGTTATATTGATAAAATGCGAGTGAAATTTATATATTCGGCATGGCACAAAATTACAATTATGACCTTTTTAGTGTTTACGACGACAGTGTCCTATGTCATATATATGCTACTTCAAACCCAAGGAGTTTAACCATTCTACTAGGAAATCAGTTTTGCGACAGATTAAAGTTCGCTTATTTGGCACAATCTTCCCTTAGTAGCTAAGTTTTATTTAACAGAAATGAAAATAAAAAATCACGATAATTTAACCACGGCAGAAATGTTGATTTCGCAAAATGTTTGCGTCACTTTATAGTATATTATGCTGCTTCATTGTTGTTTCTTGTATTATTTTGATACATGTATATAAATCTCCTAATAGGAAATAGTTCCGATTTCAAAGGAAGACATCTCTATCAAATAAATCAAACGGAGTAAATGTGAGATAAAAGAATAACTGTGGAAATTCACGATACATACGGTTTGATAACCAATTCAACTTCGCCATTTGGGGCCTGGGAGATAATTTGTTGGACTTCCTCGTACGACCTTCCAGTTAGCTCTATACCGTTCCATTCCAAGATCTGGTCACCTAAATCGTTAAAGAATAATTGTTTCAACACAGAGGTCAATTATTATTATGATACACTCTATGTTGTCAGGTCAAAGTGTGACATGCAACCACACATTTAAATTCATTGACCACGGTAATAAAACATCTCTACATTATACTGCTTAACAATCAATTCTGATTATGACTAGCAGGCGCGTTGTCAGGGAACTGTTAATAAAAGAAATTATTTATATGCAAATTAAAAAGATAAAAGAATAAAAGTACTACAAGACTATTAATTTAAAAGACGTAGTGTGCAATTTAGAATTTATAGAATGGGTCAAGCCTCTCAGTAAAGATGTTTAAACTGGGGCTAGACTGAAAAGTTAGAGGAAGGCTATTCCAAAGACGTATTCTCCTAGGAAAAAAAGAATTTTGATGATATTGTGTCCTTGAGTAGGGTATCAGGTAGTTCAGATTTCTTGTTTGAGTAAGGTGTTGGTGGTCAACAAAAACAATGTTGTCTTGGATTTTATACAAGTAGGTTACAGCACTGATGTTTCGACGCTGTTCAAGGGTTTGCCAATTTAGACCATTTATCATTTTTGAGACACTACTTGTATAGTCATAATCATTAAAAATGTATCTAGCAGCTGATCTTTGTACTTGCCCTATCTTATAAATTAAGTATTTCTGCCAAGGATGCCAAACTATGGAGCAATATTCAACCTCAGGTCTAACATAGGTCTTATATGCAGTTTCCTTTATCTTTTTATTTGGGGTTTTAACATTTCTTCTAATAAATCTGCGGGAGTTATTTGCTTTAGATGTAATATTGTTTATATGTTTGGTCCATGAAAGGTCTTGACTAATAGTGACTCCTAAGTATTTCGCTTCTTGAGTTGAGTTTAGTTGGATATTATGGCGGGTATAAGGACATATTACAGGGTTTCTTTTTCTTGTTATCCTGAGAACTTCACATTTGTCAGGGTTGAACTCCACGGACCAGTCTTTTTCCCATGTTTCTAAAGCATGAAGGTCATCTTGGAGGGTTTAGGCATCTTGTTTAGATCTGATGGTTAGGTAGACAACAGTATCATCTGCAAAGAGTCTAACCTTACCTTTGACACTATCTGTGAGGTCATTTATGTAAGAAAGGAAAAGGCAGGGACCTAATACCGAGCCTTGGGGAACGCCTGAGAGGACTGGTAGTATTCCTGATTTTTGACCTTCAACTACGACTTGCTGGGAGCGTGACTTAAGGAAGGAATGGCCTCATAGCTTATATCCAATCTTTCTAGTTTACTCACAAGTTTGTGATGGTCCACCTTATCAAATGCCTTACTGAAATCCATGACTATGACATCAGTTTGTTGGCCACTTTCAAGAGTGTCATGAATTTCCTGGGAGAAGCTTAAGCTACAGTCTCACTTACATCCCGGCAGAGCCCCGGTAGACGTCCGGGGTGATCCGGGAACGACCGGGGTACGACCGGGAACAACCGGGGTACATCCGTAACTCTGCCGGCAACGTCCTGGATGATCCAGGAACATCCGGCATTCGACCCCGGATGGAATAAAATATTTAATATCACCGGGGTGGTTCGGGATGATCCGGGAAGGTAAAGCTTTGCCGGCTTCATCCTTAGCTCTGACAGGAACGACCGGGGTTATACCGGGAAAGCACCGTAGCTCTGCCGGCACAAACCGGGGATGATCCGGGGTATGATATAGCCGGTAGAGCTACGGTAGAGCCCCGGCATATGCCGGCAGATCCCCGGTAACTACAGGCAGAGCCCTAGAGGATAAAGGTAGAGCTACGGTTGATCCCGGTAGAGCCCCGGCAAAGCCCGGATCATTAAAAAGTTTCAAAAGAATAACGACAATTTGCGATGATTGCACTTGTTTGCATTGTATTTCCCTTCTATCCAGTATGGCATAAGATTTTTTCAGAAAATCATCATGTTTTTCTATTCTGAAACAAAAGATATTATATTAAATAATAATATGCATCAATGTTATCATTTTCTGGCGTTTTCAATCCACCGGGGTTCTACCGGGGCTCTGCCTGGATCGTCCTGGGCTCTGCCGGGGCTCTGCCTTGATCGACCGGGGCTCTGCCTGGGTCAACCGGGGCTCTTCCGGCGTCATCCGGGAACGACCGGGGAAGCACCGGCATGAACCGTAGCTTCACCTGGGCTCTGCCTGGATGATCCGGAGCGCATCCTGGGTGGTTAGTAGGGACCGTAGTAGGGTTAGTACCGTAGTGCTGCCGGGGTAAGTGTGACCGCAACAATAATTTCATCCCGGAGCGTCCCGGATCATCCCGGTAACTTACCGGGATGGTCCTGGGCTCTGCCCGGAGTAAGTGAGACCGAGGCTTAACTAGCTGTGACTCACAACTCCGTTTTGACCTGAAGCCATGTTGATAGGGGCTAAGGATGTTGTGTTTATCATAAAAGGACATAATATTGGACACTAAGATGTGCTCCATCAATTTGGACGCTATACATGTGAGGGAGATTGGTCTATAATTGCTGGGTTTGCATTTTGGGCCTTTTTTGTAAACTGGGGCAATTATTGCATGCTTCCAGTCTTTTGGGACAATACCTTCCTATAATATGGAATGAAAGGGACGTAAGCTTTGTCTTGGAAACGGATTATTCGACTCGCAGTTCTCTCGCTTCTTTATTTTCTATGTATTCGCCGAATAAATACGTTAAACCGATATTTAAAATTGATACCTTTCTCTAACGTTACAGTCTTCTTAATTTAAGTTTTAGATAAAGGACAAAAACAAGATCATATGGTTTATTTCGGCAGCACAAGTAACCCAACTAAACCTATAAAAAATATATTTACTAGAATCATAACTGAATTTATTGCGATTTATTTTTCCGCTTGTCAACAAAATCAGCCGGAGAAAAAAAACAATAAAAAACATATAGAGGAAAAGGTATTTAAAATAACTATTCATATTTCATATATATGTAGGCCATGCAAATTATTTTCTGCCATTTTGTGCGGTGCGATTAGTTATTGTATCATACTAATCAGCCGAGGTGTTAATGACAAATGAGCCGTGTCACGACAAAACCAACATAGTGCGTTTGCGACAAGCATGGATCCAGACCAGCCTGCGCTTACCAACTATATTACAAGTAGAGAAACTGATAGCGAACAGCATGGATCCTGATCAGACTGCGCGGATGCGCAGGCTGGTCTGGATCCATGCTGGTCGCAAACGCATTGTGTTCGTTTGTCGTGACGCGGCTCAAATATTAAATCTGAGTAGGAAAGGACTTTTACAGCAAAGAAGTATTATTTCACACGCTCACGATATTCAATATCTAAATTTTAAACATATACTAAAGTTCGTGTTATATATGAAATTACAAACAAGTTTTTTTTATGAATTGCATTTGAAGGTAATTATTTCAAATGAATTTTTCTGTAAATATATTCTTAACAAAATTAAGGTTAGTTAGCATGCCATTATCCCGCCTACTTAGCCCGCCTTTCATTTCCCAATATTAAAGCGTTCTAAATTTCAAAGGTATCAGTGTGGGCCGATTATATATGATTATTACACGGTAAAGTATGATGTTTCAACAGTAAAATATAATTCCATCCTGGCATATAGCTTCTGTTTCAAATAGACAGCTCTCCCACACATAAGCCTATTTTAGAAAAGAAAAAGTTCGTCTGCTTATATCTTTGTTTTCAACATTCACTTATGGATGCTTTTTAAAAGAAAAGGAGATATTGGTAAACTCTCGGTGCTTCTTTATCATTAAAAGTAAGATCTCTAATGCACATGGAATTAAGTACACACATTTATATTCTATCTAAAGCTAGTTTTAGCAAATTAAGGAATGACGCAGGTACATGCTTTAAAAAGTCACAGACCTAATATTTTATTAATGCAAATATAATCTTACGGGACGAAAATAAATCTAATAATTATCTGCAGCGCGCAGAAGTAGGTTGGCATTAACTATTAAAAACATTCAAAAAAAGATAAAGAATGTTTTTTCGTTCTTTTTTTTTTAATTTTAATCGATTTTGTTTCTTTAGAAATTTTCACCATACATGTACGAGTATATGTCATTTATTTTTTGAAGTCAGTTTTTCTTTCAAACCCTAAACTTACTTTATTTTCGATCAATATTATTTTTTTAATTAATCTTAAAATACATTTATTTTTATAACGAGCATATAATTATATTAATTATGCTAGTGTCCGGCTTCCATAATTTGGACCTGTCCGTTTCCAAACGTCAATCAGCCAACTTTATCTAGAGTAACTAATCATACTGTAGTATGTTTCATTCAAACCTATTAACCTAATTTTTAAAAGTAAATATACTCAAATTTGATATAAGAAAAAAAATTGCAAAACACAATCACTTTGCCAATATAAAATAAACATGTTTGACTTCACACAAAGTAGATATATTATGTTTAAAATTCTACACACTGTAGGCGGTCATAATATGAAAATATAGTGTCATTTAAAACAAAACTGGCAAGAAAAGACCAACTTTACTTGACCTGCAATAGGGAACACAGTTCACATGCATATTCCATTTATTCTTTTATTCAAATCAGACATAGTGAGTCAGAGTTTTCATAGATTTCAATAAATTTTTGTGATTCAAATATTTTACTAAAGGATGAGCATAGTATACTAAAGTTGCTTTAAAAAAAAAGCACAATAAGTTTCATTCTTAAAGTATACGCAGAAACATGTAGATGTTCGGTATGTTAATAAATGAAAAGGGAGAAAACCAGGAATAATTTAAATGTTAAGACTTACAAAATATAGAAATTTTTAGCACAAAACTAAGAGGTCTAACGTGTTGTAGTTATCATTTAGATGACACGAATTCATAAATAAAGCATTATTGTCCTATTTCAAGCATACAATTTTTTAAAATTTTGCGCAACATCTTTCAAATTAAATCTTAGCAATAAAATTCAACCATTAGAAAGAATATTCAGATAACAAAAGAAAAACATTTTTCTTATTATTTCTTACTTTCCTACTGAGCGAGTCAGATTGCCAGTTTGTATGTCAAGATACCTCATCATCATGAAGAACTAGAAACATTTTAGAAAAAAATATAGAAACAATTCATATAAAAACAAAGGAACACAATGAACCATGGAGAACCTATTCTTTGAATGAAACTATAACATTTAATTATACAAGGGTAGTTTTACCTTCATTGACCTCTCCATGTAACTGATCGGCGACACCTCCTTTGAAAATCGTAGCTACAAATGCTCCCACACAGCTAGTACCTGGAATGTTTTTTCCCCCGACAATTCTCATACCGACACCATTCCCAGGTCGACCTGAAATAAAAATGATATAAAGACTCGAACCTTAAATCGGCTAGAACCAAATGTTATAAGCATTGCCACCAGTATGGAGCCAGGCCAGCCTGCACGTATTGGTGCAGTATGACAAGGCTCTAAATTGTTGAAAATTAAGATTTTTGAATTTGGATATCAAATTCTTTTAAACGTTGAATCAACCAATCTATATTTAAATCAATGAAAATTCATTAAAAAAAACTCAGCAGGAATGGGTCAATAAATAAATAATATTACCCTTTTTTCTGAACTAAACGTTTTGACTTTTTCAAATTGGAGATTAATATAGTATGTAAAATCATAAATTAAATAGAAAGATGCATATGCAAGAATCAGCCAATAGGTTCGTGTACTGCCTTGTTTTAAAGTTAGGACTATATACGATATATTATATGTATCATTTATTTACTTATTATTCTTTTATTTATTTTTTTAGATATAGAGGGAGGTCTTCTATTTCAGAACAAGAAGGGATTAAGAACATGCATTTATAGAAAATCAAGAACACTATCAAATATCATATTTCCAGACCTTTTTCATTTAAGAGGGATTTTTGTCCAGCTTAGCGTTTTTGAACCAATTGTAAAAGTTTACAATTAATTAGTTCACTTTTGCCCATTTCTTCCTAGACAATCTTGACACAAAAAAACACCATTTAGATTAAAATCCTTTGTAACACTCCCCAGATATATTTCACCGAATTCCCTTACAGTATACTAGTAGGTTTGGTAAGCAGTGTAATAAAAACGCAATGAAATATTAGGATAATAGTCCACAAACCCTTCAAGCAGCCACCTTGTAAAATAATTGTTCTTTAAAAAGGAAGTACTGTCTCAATCTATGTTGAATTGGTATCAATGTCCTTTTTAAAACAAAATAAACCCCCTATGTAATGTCTGAAGACAAAGACTCACCTTTTCCGTATTTCTCTTTCGGATCTGTTGTTAGAAGAATTCTTTTTACGGAATTGTCGTACTTCTTCGGTGCCGAAGGGGGCGGCTACAAACACAGGAAGTAAAATTGAATGAAAGAAAAAGTATTGCTTTTTTTTCACAAAAGGTTTCACTTGGAAGTAAATATTTCTGTACGTATTTTTTATCTATTTACTCAAATACATGTTATAGTATAAATTTTTTATCATTGCCAATAAAGTAAAAAAGTGAAAATAAAACTCAATATGCTTTATAATACAACGGAGTTCTATGATTCAACTTCGCGAATTCATAATTTTAACTGTATAAAATCTCAATTTCAACATAATGACGCCGTTCATTCCAAGTTTAAACTATGTGAATTCACAATTTTAACTACATGAATTCACAATATTAGAGTTCAAACTTCATGCATTCCCAACTACAAATACTGGCACTCAATCTATGAATTCACGATCTCAAACTTCACGAATTACCGAAACAACTTCATAAATAATACACGTACAACTTCACAAATGCACGTTATGAACTTCATTCTTTTAGTTTACGACTTCAGCTTCACGAATACAACATCATAAATTTACAATCACAAATGTACGATCTCAACCAGTGAATTTACGAAAATATTGATCACGATTTCATTAATCTTAAATCGTAAAATCGTGAAGTCGAAATCGTGTAAACATGAATTTGTGAAGTTGAAATCGTGAATACCGTGAATTCATTAAATTGAAACGTCACTTCCGGTTTTCAAATAATATTGTACCTGTTTTTTTCTTTCAAGCTGCTTAAGAATGGTCACGCCCCCTTCCATCAGGTGTTTCATGATTGGTTCGTCTGCGTCAACACTGTTGTCACTTTCTACACGATACATGCCGTTCATTAGATCTAGCAAACCACAGGTAGGTATAAGAACATAGATGTTACATTACTAATTTGGTGTCACTTCTATTTTCGCAAATTTTGACTCCTATGTTACACCGTACACAAACATGTTATCAAACTTTCATCATTTTCGTTACATAGCAGTATAAACAATTTCCTTACTTAAGCCAAACATCGTATTTTCTCTTTCATTATTATTTTATTATTATTATTATTATTATTATTATTATTATTATTTTAATTCTGTAATGAAGAAACACTCAAGTGGCACCTCTGTGATTCCGTACATATTTACTACAAATTAATTTCAATCATTTTTAGTTACTGGAATAATACAGGAAATTACCGGAGGATGAAAACTAAAAATAACTTCGCTTTTTAAACTAGCAATATTTAAATAACTCAAATGACAGATGCTTTCTATGCTTAAAGTAAATTGTCGGTCAAAACTATTTGAAAACTATAAAGGTCAAGAGACACATATCGTATTCACATGTCTAGTTTTCAAAAGAGCTTAACTTGTGTTAAAGGCCCATAATGTCTCAGAAATCCTATCATGTTTTATTTCTGAAAAACTGTTTATTTTTGGTATCTTGTTAAAGTTTTCAAAATCATACTCATTTGCTATATATATACACATGAACTTTCTTTTGCATCTTTGGTTATGTTGAAAATTGGTATAATTATATGAAATAGTATTTTGTATGGAAGTCAAAATACTACTTTGTTGATATTTTGCTACCCTAACGACACATAACTGCATGTTCAGCGTTACTTAAATCAGTTGTATAACAGCTAACATGCACTTAATCTATTATTTACACATTTAATGAAAACATGATTGACATTAATTTTCTAAAGAATTTAAAAATATATGGATTTCTGAGCTCTAAACAATAAAATAGTTTGTGCTCGTGCGTTTGTTTTAAATGCTTGAATGCTTCTGTTATGGCTTATAAAAGAAATGATCTAAAATATATGGGTTGCTTATAAGAGAATATGTCTGTGGACAACCACAATTAAAATCGAATAAAGTAAACAAATGGCATTAAAATCCATATGAATTAATAAATAATCACTGTAAATCAAACAGAATAGGCTAAAGGCATTGTTAAAATCTAAAACGCCAATTTAAACGTTGAATTAATAAAGACTTGAAGTAAGAAAAACTCTATGTGATATTACATGACACTTGACATATTACATGCAAACCCTGTAAATAAGCAGTTTTAAACCCTGTAAATAATAAGGAAGGGGTTTGAATATTGGTTACAATTAGCCAGTGTTAGTTTTTAACTAGAGAAAATAGTGTCTTGGTTGCCCTGTAACACAACACTTAACGGTTACCCTACCAAGCAAAATAAACTTAATTAAATGCATTAATATTTTCTATATGATCCACATTAAGATGAAGGTCAGATTAAACGAAAATATGGTAATAAAGTCAAGATGAAACTCCAATTAATAAACCCGAATCAATACATCGCTTAAATGATGAGTTTAGTTTACTAATTTTTGATAAAGCAGCATTTTAAGGAGATATTGTATTTATATTAATCACGTGTTAATATATAAATGATTTAAAGTACTCCCATATACATTTGTAATAGATATATAAAGGTACAGAGAATTTGATTAAAAATGGAGTAACATACACACCTTCTACTCCCAAATTAAACTCCGCAGAAACAGGTCTACTCCCGGTCCCAATTTCATGAATGATCTTTCTGGATCTAGCTTTAACATCCGACAGTAAAGGCATAGCCGGTGTCGGTATATGAGGTGGGCTCGACTCCGTATCAGACACGGGCCGATTATTATTTTCTAAATCCGCTTTTGAAATTGGAATATTTGGTAACGTAGCACTACTGCATATGCCGAAGTCTCTACTGACATTCACGTTACCCGTAGAATAAGAATAGGAGTCCAGATTGCTTCTGGTTTGTTGAGGAACAAAAGCACTCTTTTCACCGAATTCAGCACTATAAAGATAAGGGGAGGAAAATGAGGATAAACCGTCCAGTCTTTGTCGCATTATCTCCTCTTGTTTATGAGCTAGATACTCGGTTGAGCTATAACTTGTTTGATTTTGGAAATTAGCTTTAGTTTGTATGTTATCATCCTCGTCGTCTATTGGTTTTATGATTCCAGTAGGAATAGGCCGCGGATGAATACAAGATGGAATGCTTACACGTGATGAAATTTCGTCACAGCTTTGAGCTAGTTGCTTACTTGTAGCACCTATACTAGAACGAGCTTCTTTTAACTTTGCTTCTCTTTCAGCTAATTGCTTCCGTCGTTTTTCAATTTCAAATTGTAACTCTCGACGTTTTTCTTCTCGCAGTCGAGTTTCTTCATCTTCGACAGTATCAACGGGTATGTGTCCGTCGGAATGACTAGATATTAACTGAGGTGACGGTTGTTTTGCCTTCCTTGCTGATGTATCCAAGGTTTCTGAAGATTGAGCATGATGTGTATAAAACATTTTGGCGTAGTCGGTTGGTTTAACCTTCTTACCATTAGTTATATTACCAATGATAGGTTCAGACCGTGCACTGTCCGTATCACTAATTCCCGATTGTGAACTATCATCCGCGGTCCGACAAATCCTAGTATCGTCTAACGGAACAATTTGAATCTCGGACTCGATGTCTTTATCCTCTTTTATAGGAGAAAACTTTGCTACCATAGGATCAGAAGACTGTCTCTTGTGTCGCGCACGTCTGTTTATCATTTGCGGCGACGTTCTTGAGTTAGTGGTTGATCTTTTCTTACCATTACTTCCGGAATTCGATTTATTTGACGCACCGATTCGTAACTCTCCGAGTTGAAACTTCAGGACACGTAACTCTTCAATTTCATCTATTTTTCTCCTTCTACCTTCAGTAACTCTTCTTAATTCGTCTTGTAAACGTCTTTTTAAACCTTTCATTGCCTGTGTTATAGGCGCACCGTATATGTTTATTAAAGAGTCTATAATTGCATCAGTTTCATTGTGATAAGTATCCGAAATACTATCGTCTTTTATCTTTATAGTTAACATTTCTAAATCCGGTGGAATATTTATTTCTACATAGTCCTCGGGTTTCCTAATAGTTGGTGCGTTTGAGTTTTTAAGATAATTTCCATTGCGCTTGTCTATCGAGGGCTTATCTAGATTATTAACTTGCTTCTTTCTTGTAATACTTGCTACTTCTTTGTCATCTTCATTCATCGAGGAATCATCACTCGTCGATGACGCGGATGGCTTATTCTTGAATACTCTATTGTCAGTTCGAGGTGGTGGTTTTCTGGGAGGAACTGGGCGTTGCTTAGGTTTAGCTGTTTGATTTAGCTCCTCCTCCGCTGGGATTGGTGGGAGTTTACGGCGGACTTTCTTCATCTCTTTCTGTTTGTGGTCCTTCGACTGTGGTGAATGTTGCTTGTTCTTTGCGTGGTGGGATGGTTGGTCCTAAAATTAAATTTGTCATAGTTTTCTCAAAACCCTTTCATCGTTTTATTCATAAGTATACTTAACTACCAATGTACGTATATAAATAAGTAATAAATAATAAACAGTATGTACATGTAGATCCAAGTTGAATTACTATTATAACTATTATCATTATCATCATCGTCGTCGTCGTCGTCGTCATCGTCATCATTATCATTAACCATCATTATAAGTATCATAACAATATAACACTTAGATTTAAGAAATAGAAATACTGGCAATGAAATTTATAAAAAAAACTGATGCAAATGAAATTCGTATTTAATTCTTATTTTATCCCCAAAACAAACTGAAACGTTCTCTATCCGAAGATATTATACAAAGTATACCGTTAACATACAAACTGTGAAACAAAATAAATAAAAAGGTATGTGAAGTATCAAGTGCGGCGAATAGTCACTAAAACGGGAAAAATCGTCACTATATTGGGGCGAGTCGATTCGGGGCGAATTTGGCAATTGTGCAGATCATTTCAATGTCTACTTTCTTGTCTGATACTTTTCTATGGTGTTACGTATAATCTGAACGACGTAAGTTTTCAATATAGTTGATTTAACAAAATTTATATTTCTACTAATTAACGTTTGTGGTTGATTTTATTTTTAAGGATACATAATTATATACCAAACACTGTAGGTGATTTAAAAATTTGAACGATAGGCAGCACTGCGGCGTTTTTTATTTCCCGAAGACAACCGATTGAAATATATGTAAAATATCAGCGTGTGTCCTTTTATAACTTAGCTAGTAAAACTATTTCTAGAGTTTCAACTGTTTCATGCACCAATAAAGAAAATCATGTCAGACTTTTATTTCGCCCACGTTATTTTTTATGATGAAAAAAAACGGATTAACTTCAATTCGATCAGGGGAAAAATACGGCGTTCGCCATTTAGAAAGTACGTGGTAGTTTGTAACTTGAACTAAATATCCTGACAAAAACATCTTATTATAATAAAAGAGATATGTCTGTGTGTAAAAACTGATGAAGCTATTCAGCTAGCTTGTGGAAAGGTGGTGTTTCTATACAGGTGTGCCCATACATATCTGAAAATCCTTCCCTTACATCGTCGTCTACCCACGGTATATAATCCGTACATACTACATTATATAATGTTGTATGTACGGAATATATACCGTCGGTAACGGACGATGCCCATGGTGAGGCAGTTAGGTTCTTCCCATCAACATCTGCCCCCCACCCCCCTCCACCCAAAAAAGATAATGTTATTTAACGGGCGTACAATTCAAGATATTAGTTTGAAGTAGACCAAGTACAGGTATAAACCTTTAATGGCCCTTTATCCTACAACGTTGTTTGTATTGTATTGGATTTGCCTTGCTTTGAATTTGTAACAGTTCATCTAAAGTTAAAGGAATTTTAAAATACCACTATAACGCTACCAACAGAAAGGAGCCTGGTCAGACTTCATGGCTATGCATACTACATAGGCTATAAATATATAGTGAGAAAGGCTAATCACTTTCTGTTCCAGCATACTAGAGAATTTTATCGTCATTACCAAATGACAGATTATTATAATTATTGGTTTAGAACAGCTGTTTTTATCATATCATATCATTTATTGTTGTTTTTTTTTTGTTGTTGTTTTATTTTTATTTTTTTTTGGGGGGGGGGGGGCGGTGGATTTTTGCAGACGGCAATATACGCTAACACCTTTAAAATGTAAATCTGAACTTTTATGTACTTTTAATTCGAAATTAAGTACCAAAGAAGATATGAAGCAAAGTTCTTGCTTTCAGGCATAAAATAGGACTAAAGTAAATTCTAACTATTTTTCCAGGTCAAAAATATATAATTTACTAAACTAAAATAAATTATACCCTTAAGGATATAAATGTATATCTTGATATATGTAATTGGTAGAGTGTTTGTTAGACCATCCTATTATCATAAACAAGAATAATTTAGTGTGCAGATTTCTGGTACAGTGCAAACTCAAAGTCGTTACTAAATCTACTAAACTGACATAAGACCATCATGTTAAGAAATGTTTTAGACATTAGACTATCATGTTAAGAAATGTTTTAGACAATAGACTATCATATTAAGAAATGTTTTAGACATAAGACTATCATGTTAAGAAATGTTTTAGACATTAGACTATCATGTTAAGAAATATTTTAGACATTAGACTATCATGTTAAGAAATGTTTTAGACATTAAACTATCATGTTAAGAAATATTTTAAACATTAAACTGTCATGTTAAGAAATATTTTAGACATTAGACTACCATGTTAAGAAATGTTTTAGACAGACTATCATGTTAATCATGTTAAGAAATGTTTTAGACATTAGACTATCATGTTAAGAAATATTTAAGACATTAGACTATCATGTTAATTAATATTTTAGACATTAAACTATCATGTTAAGAAATATTTTAGACATTAGACTATCATGTTAGGAAATGTTTTAGACATTAGACTATCATGTTAAGAAATGTTTTAGACAGACTATCATGTTAATCATGTTAAGAAATGTTTTAGACATTAGACTATCATGTTAAGAAATATTTTAGACATTAGACTATCATGTTAAGAAATATTTTAGACATTAAACTATCATGTTAAGAAATATTTTAGACATTAGACTATCATGTTAGGAAATGTTTTAGACATTAGACTATCATGTTAAGAAATGTTTTAGACAGACTATCATGTTAATCATGTTAAGAAATGTTTTAGGTATTAGACTCTCATGTTAAGAAATATTTTAGACATTAGACTATCATGTTAAGAAATATTTTAAACATTAAACTGTCATGTTAAGAAATATTTTAGACATTAGACTACCATGTTAAGAAATGTTTTAGACAGACTATCATGTTAATCATGTTAAGAAATGTTTTAGACATTAGACTATCATGTTAAGAAATGTTTTATTCTGTTTTTATATAATTCATGTGCGTTTAATAACAGAAACACTTTTTATTAAAATAATCTTTTAAGATCATTAAATATAATACCTGAAAATAATGTGATTGTACAGTTTTTTTTAAGTTTCATGTATCCCAGCAGACACACACGACGTTGTTTCAACGTTCGACCGACGTTAAAACAACTAAATGTCATGATGTAGCATCAAGTACAAAGCGTGGAAATATTGGCGAATATGTAAACGAAATTAATATTTGACATATTATAGAGAGAGAGCTTACATCCTTTAAAAGGGTTATTATGGTGTATGTTTTCTAAAATATACAGTCAGACAAAAAAACGCTCCTGGAACAGAATCTGTTAAATATTAATTGGAATTGGCTTAGAGAGTGATTAATATACTGATGTACATTAAGGGGTATAAATCAATAAAGATACACTGCTTGTCAGTAAAAATATAAATATGAAACATGACACGATATGTGACATCATCAAAACCCATTATCCGACTTAATACTTCTAAAATCAATAACTATGTGTCAAGTGTATCGATAAAATACACGAAAGGCCTATTTTAAAATCAAATGCGTTTTGTTATATACAAGTACACCTATTACTTAACACTAGAACAAAAAAGTGATTCGACTTTGCCACCATGGTGTGGGATAGTCAGGCCAGACTTGCTTGTCCGTGCAGTCTGACCAGGTTCTACAGTATACAGTTTGTAGTTTCTTCTTTTTTTCAATTTTGATACATTGAAATGTTTTAAAGCTACATGCCTCCAAATGTGCTTAAATATTTCAAGAAAAATAAAACTTGACATTTTAAGAAAAGTAAAAAGATATAAGATTCAAGCAATAATTTGCATGTTATGTGCGATAATTAGTCCAATTCTGCAATATTAATCACCTTATTTCTACTGTGTGACTAACGGAATATTGGCATCTTTTTAGTAATTTAGGTGGATTGAAAGTGCCGTTTCACTGTGTGAATTATTGTCTTTCTTTACTTCATATTATTTTACTTCTAAAATATATGTTTAAAATTTTCATGAAAATTAGCATGACTCTGGAGGCATTCTGAATTTGAATGTTCCAAAATACATACCATGACAAATTATTTTCACAAATTCAGAAGGCTTATTGTGAAAACGAATAAAATTAAATGACTAGGAAACATAACAATAACTGTGTTTCAAATTAGGATGAACTGTTTCATGTAGAATTTGTATAATGATGTATGAAATCAGATAAAATTATACCAGAATATATGAACGTTCTTAAATGTCTAAAAGATGTTCTTTATGTAGACATAAATGGTGGTAATAAGTCTATATTCACGGCTTATTATAATATTATGTACTCGTTCAACCCTTTATGATAACTAATAATTTATTGATAAACGATAATTGATACCCTTTGACCGATCTGACAAAACGTCTCTCAAGTAATTATTTTCAACATAATACATTTTTGCAATATTTTAAAGTCAAGTATTATGCTTGTTCACAGCCTAAAACTTCGCATAACATTTTCTTAAGTTTGAATTTTAAAATAATTGAATGAGATTATATAATTAAAAACACATTAAATCAAATCTAAAACACCAAAATTGAATTTGGAAACTAAATATATTTGAGCCGTGTCACGACAAAACCAACATAATGCGTTTGCGACCAGCATGGATCCAGACCAGCCTGCGCAGTCTGATCAGGATCCATGCTGTTCGCTATCAGTTTCTCTACTTGTAATAGGGTTGGTAAGGGAACAGTATGGATCCTGATCAGACTGCGCGGATGCGCAGGCTGGTCTGGATCCATGCTGGTCGCAAACCCATTATGTTGGTTTTGTCATGACGCGGCTCATTTAATGTTGACAATATGTATCAACGTTAATTCATGTATTATAGTTGTATGTTTCGATGTTGTTGTTTTTACTGTTTTTATGGCAGAATGCTTGATATTAGTTATATGAATGATGGACAAATTAAAAGCCATACAATAGCGTTAAGAACTATAAAATTCATTCTATTACTTATGGAAGTACCTTACTTAATATAGTTTTCAATACAAATAATTTATCGAAATCGTACTTTCAAGTAGGAAATACATTACGTTATATAAGATATAAACATGTTGTCGGATATGCGTGAGAATACATTGTTGTTTTCATTTTTTTCTTATTCAACAGATAAAATTGTTTAAAAAATACTGTCTGTTTACCATATACTCTGTTCAAAAACATTCACAACTGAAAATATAGTAAAACATCCAAATTTTCTTAAATGTGCAAGACAACCTTCACCGAAAAGGTATAACAACATTGCTAAAGAAACGCTTGAAACTATTGTATTTTCTTGAGAACAAAATGAAAATGAACTATTTACTTAAACTCCATATAAAACAAATGACCTAAATTTGTTAACTGTTACTGTTGATTAAATCGTTTCAAATGCTGAAACAAGACAGGGATTCTCGCGAGAGAAACAAACTCATGAAACGTGCAACTTACAGCAAAACAATCCAAATTCACTTCCGGTGATTCAGGCATTAATCCATTTATAGTAACACTAATCTTCTGAAAGAATACTCTTCCTTAAGGAGTCACGAATGTATTAATGCTCCATGTATTTCAGTGGTGAACTCAATAAATCAGATTACACTATTTCTGATACGTTGATATCACAACATCATGGCATATTTCATAGTATTGGACTACCACCTGTATAGCTCGATCAATATCACGGTATAAATATATCGCAGAACATATTCCAGCGCGGAGAAATGTATTGAAAATCGTCATGAAAACAAACAAGAGTTCTATTTTCCCATTTAGATGTTTTAACAACAACAAAAAAGAAGAACGTTGGAAATCGATAATCAATATGCCGCGTTGTTTGGCTTGCTCGTGTGAGATCATTTATACTGCTAGCTCATGAGTGGGTTGTTGAACAGAGTAAGAAAATGTGTAAATGCAGGTCGATACGCGGAGAAACAATATTTGATGGAAGATTATTTATTGCCATGCGTTTGTGACAGGCACTAGCATTCTTCTACGGCAAAGCTCCGCTTACATTTTCTGGTAGAATGCGTAGTAATACGGAACTATATTGTTTTTATATGCTTTGATTTAATATTTCTTTCTTTAATATTTCTTTCACTTCATTCAATTATTAGACAAGACAAATCCTTAAATAAAGTTAATTGGACTCCGCAGAAATAATTGTGTAAATTAATGTACGAATGTTAAAATAATTCGAATGTTTTAACCTACAAAACGAGTTAACGCATTATACTCGTAGTTGCGATCAAATAACGAATCAAAGGTGCACACGTGCTTAGCAAGATGTGATGGCATAACGTCATTATACCGGTCAAAATAGATTAAAAGCTAATATCCGGTAACGCGGAAATTAAAATTAATGTTGAATGTAAAGTCAATCCTTCTTTAAACCATAAATGTCGAGTAACTTAATCATAATACTTCTGTATGAACCTCGTCTTGTATGTCACTTGCACAAAACAGAAAGATTTGAAGCAAGTTAGGTAATCCTGTTTAAACACTTAATTGCTATTTTAAAAAATCAAATGATAAAATAAACTACTCGTACATACCTTATTGGTATATTTACCTTTTCGTGATTTTTATTTTTCTCATGATTGTCCCTGTCGTGATTATGTTTGGTACTTTGGCGTCTCTCCGACGGAACCGAGGCGTTCCGAACCTTCTCCTTCGGTTTGACGTAAGAGCTGTCTTCACAAACTAAAATAAATTCATCTTCAAAATCCGTCCCTGATGAAGGCGAATGTGGTTTAGGGGGCGATGAGTCAGAATCCGGCGGTGTAACCGGGGAAGGATAGAGGAATGACTCTCTATCAGGGGACGATGAAGGGGAAACTGACGTGCTGTCGGAATATTCTCGGCGAATTGCAGATTTGTTTTCAGGGCTAGGGGGAGACTCTAATACTTTGTACTGAGGCGAGGCAGAGGCGTCCTCTAATTCCAAATGACTCATTATTAGCGGATCAGGTTTTGCTTTCATATCTTTTGCAGTACGGCGGCGTTCCTCGGAATTCTGTTTTTGAAGGACTGGCTTGTCTTGGCTTTTGCTTGCCTGTTTATTTGCGAATACAGACTGATGGAGAATTGGTGGGTTCCGGGTCGGTTCTTGAGGTTCAGCTTTAGCAGTGCGAGCTGGTTTTGGCGGAGGTGTCTCTGAAGGTTTATCTTTTCGACGTGGTTTTGGGACCGGTGCCTTTTGGGTTGCAATTATCTCAGCGTTTGGTTCCGGTAACTTACGTCGCAATTTTGTTTTCGACTGAGTCGTGCTAGCAGAATCAGGTATATCAACAGCAGCTATTTGAACGCTTTCAGGTTTTGCTTCTACAGGTTTCATCTTTTTAGACGTATCGATAGAATGTCCAGGATTTGCTGGGTTGTCAGTACTTTTTGAACATTTAGGGTCGTGTCTATGTAATTTAGCACACATATGCTCAGCGTTTGAGTGTAAAGGAAAGATGGGTGTGGGATGTGTTGGCATTTTTGCATCAAATGCTGCAACATCTGTTACAGTTTTATGTTCTGGTTTACTAATATTTCCATTGCTATGTTCGGTACTTTCATTAGATGCAATTGACATTGGCGAACTTCCATTATTTTGTTTAACTAGTTCACTTATATCTTCAACAACCTCGTATCTCTTTAAACCATAATACTGATAGTCCGGTGCTTCATTTGCATCTTCGCTTATAGCAATGAAAGCGTTTGCTGGCGAATATGCGTCATCCTCTCTAGAAGCTTGTCTCTGTCTTTCAGCTTGTTGTTCAGCGAGCATTTCAGCCTGTTCAGCTTCTTCTAATGACGGGGAAACATCTAAAATCGGCGATAAATCTATGACAGGAGACCAATCGGTAGTTGGAGGCCTTGCTTTCTGTCGCTTGGACCCTTGGTAGTCGATTGACTTCTGCGAGGGGTCAGCAAGCTCGATATCTTCCTCAGATTCCTCGTCTATTTGATGCTCATCCTTATATGAAACGTTGTCATAGTATGGCGAAACGGGTGAAGAGCTGCCCAAACTTTCTGGTGATTCATGACCAGGTTTTGAGTCAGGGATATTTGTTGGCGAGACCGACATGGACGTAAGATTAGCAGTATTACTCGCAACAGTAGCGGCGTATGTTGCTAGATCCATAATCGTTGTCGTGTCATTTAAATCATTTGCGGCATCCTCTAAGGAATAAAAGGGTTTACTTTTCTTTAAACTTGATGTCGGTCTGTCAAATGACATAACCTCACCGGAATTGCTATAGAAAGAATCTTTCAGCTCATCAGGGCTTTTTGGCGAAGGTCGTTGAGCAAATGGTACGAGAGAGGGGTCAGAATTTGTAGAATGAGCTTCTTTATCATAAAGTTCTTCAAGCGATAACTGTCGTGAAGGCGGTGAAATATCCGTATAAGTAAATCGTTTATCTTTAGGCGATACCGGAGAAGAACCCCTTCGCTTGCCAGGATAGCTGTCCCTTCGGCGAGGCGAAAATGGCGGGCTTTCAAGACCTTCCCGCCAACTTGGGCTTACAGGTGCTGAGGGACTACATCGTATTTTATCAACATGGTTATTTTCATGAGTAGCTATTTCGGCTAGCTCATCGTCAGTCTCTGCTTCAACACCTCGCATCTCTTCTACAAAAGCACTTGCGGCTAGCGCAATTCTCAACTCATGAGGATCAGGAGGTTGAACACCGGCGTACTTTGATTCAACGTCAGTGCTTATTGCACTATCTGAAGTCTCATCTTCTGACGAAGTACCGCTTACTGAACGAGACAAATTTAAAGATTTCGGTCTATGTTTCCGACGCATGTGTATGCTAGCGTTGTCGTCACTACTTCCAATACTCATAAATGAATAATCGTCGCTGCCGTCGTCGGGACTGATTCCATCTGTTCCTGATCTCATCATTGAAGCGTCCTCCATATCTACATCCGACACGCCGTCGGAGTATTCCGATTCGCTCCGTGAGCTAGGTTGTCCCATTGCTGAAAGTAAAATATTGCAAAATTATTTCCATGCCTTCTATCAAACTTTATTGTTTTAGTTAAAAAAAACAACTTTTGTTTTTATTTTTCAGACCAGAAAATTATAACTGGTGTTTAATTTAAGCAAAACAATTCAAGAACGATAGTAATGCAATAGTTACCGACTTGTATTGAGCTATAAGAGAAGCATAATGTTATAAAGAAATAGTAGCTTTTAAAATCTATCCCACTGTAAGCCAACAGTATAGAGCCAGACCAGTCTGTACTTTTGTCAAAGTAAGACGAGTCCATTCACGAAATCAGCAGGTAATGGCCCAAAAACTACTTTCAATCCCATCCTTTAGCTTATATCATAACGTCAATAACAATTTAATATGCAATTTCTTGTTTGTTATTCAGTTGAAGCTATTACTACTTAATGTATTCATAAAAGTCATAAAGAAAAAAATATCATAAAAAATGAAATATTTTCAATTCTACATGTAAACCAAACACAACAGTGCACAATAGTTATTTATTTCTGTTGTCTATAAAATACAACAATTAAATACCCACCAGCCCGGATAACAGTCAGTCAGATAGTTAACCTTTAACCTGCTGGCATCGAAAGTGTTTTGCCTTTACAGCATTTGTGATTTAGCATTTTGTATACCACTTTGTTTACAATTTACTACTTTAATAATGACAAATAGTTTCATATTCAGTGCTTATTTCCCCAAGCATCTAACATGCTCCAAAACCATAACTTCAACGTTATAAAACTCATGTTTGACCTTTCTAAAGAAAGAAAACCTCGTTTCTGAGGCATAATTTGCGTTTAAGCGATTAAATCCATACTAAGTGCTTTGACGTAATATACTATTGTTCCAGAATGCTCTACGTCTGGGTTATAACTGACTGGCTAATACTATTTTATACATGAGGATATAGATATGAACAGCGTGTATTGAATCCCCTAAAACTTTCCTGATTATTCTTCTCTAATTATTGTCAAATATAAACCAAGCCGAATGAAAAGCAAACTCCCGTAGCTTGCATCTAAACATATGATGTAATACTCTAAAATGATTGAGGACAAGCACCATGTCTGGCGATCAAACAATCTCCTTTTATTTTGCTATAGAATTCAATATTTATATGAAGCGTCAAAGAATGTACTCTCCTATAGGATATACTGAAAACATACACTGAAAGGGCGGTAACTCTTCGATAGGATTATAAATGTGTATCAAACTTCTTTGGGGTAACTTGCTTACATGATATGATTTAAACGATACGTCAAGAACGATAACTCTTCGAAAGTTAAGGCATGTAACAAACCTGAAAAAGATAATGTATACAATAGGCCACGGAAAGTAACCCTTACAGGATGCAATGTGTATAAGCCGTCAAGGGAGGTCACTCTTCTTAGAATGTCATATATGTAAAATGTGAAGGGAAGTAATACCCTTGCAGAATCTGGTGTACATGTATATGGAACGCCAAGGGAAGTAGCTTTGCAACTGATTTATAATAAAAAAATAATGTATGCGAGACGCAGACTGCAATATTATCTTATGTGACTAGATTTGTCATTAAATAGTGCATAACCATACATTTCACAGCCCTATATTTGTTTTAGAAGGTATCATTTCAGAGCTTAAATCTGATATACATATAGGACAAAAAACCTTACATATAGGTAGAAAAATAAGAGTTTGTCTGATAGTCAATATCTAGATCATCTGATTTCAAAGTTCAACTGTGAATATTTCTCTAAATACAGTACAAAAGTACACCTTTAGACGTTGCCTTTTCAGAATTACTGGCAAAAATCATTTTGGACTATTTCTAAATGCATATCAGCAAATAGCTTGCATTGACCTCCGGGACGTGGCCAAATTTAGCCCCTGTAACAACCGTAACTTGAATCTTCTCATTAGAGGTATTTGAAATGAGAGGTATTGGAAACCAATTATGTGAAAGCACTCGCCCAGTCGGTTTAAGAGCAGAAACTTTTTCAGATTTTTACTATAAATATTTAAAGGAACCATTTTTTTAGATTGTTGGCGAACTTGCATTGTGCAATATGTTTTTTTTTTTTTTGTAAACATGGTGTATTAGTGGAAAAAATACAATAGGCTTACTATAAAATGTCAATATTTCACTAATTACCACAGAGTTAAAAGATGAACAATACGAAATCAAATTCAAATTATTCAATCATAAAATTATTTAATCATTTCAGTTTATGCATGGTGCCTTTACAACGCTCATTTTATGATTTGCGTTGGACAAAAACTTATACAACAGACGGTCAAGATTTTAATTTTGTCCGTAACTTTTTCATTATTTCAGTATTTTTAATCAGATTAAGTGTAGAGCCCTCACAAGAGAGTAACACATTCATAGAATGTTTTAGGAGTGTGGGAAGCAGACTCGTACGGACAGAGAAACCGCGTGTTTAAACAATCAGATATTCCCGCGGTTTTACTTCACGAAGAAAAAATGATTTTTTTCTAGGAACTTTTTTTCTCTATGAGTTTATCTCTAAAATGAATGGACTCTACACTTTTCCCCATAAAAATAATGAAATGTTTAAAAAGAATGATAAAAATAGCCAAAATAAAATCTACACCGTCACAAAAATGTCTCATGGTAAAGACACCGTGTGAAATGACGTGTAAAATGGTGGTTAAATATAAATGTTTGCTAAAATTCAAAAGCTAGTAAAAGGGAAATTAATTAAACCAAAGTGCTTATTTTCTTATGGCTGATGAATTTAAAATAACAAACTACGAAATTTCTAGATACAGACGCTTTTTAAAATTATCTAGTTATAAAGCTAAGAATACATATCGTAGCAGTTACAAAAATTTAAGCACGTAAAAATAAAAAGTAAATAAACATGGTGCTTACAAAGAACGCTGTTGTTTACTCGTACTATATTTTTTACTATTAATCAAAGCAGACAAATAAAAAGAAAATAGCCTATACATTGCGTGTGTATTCCTTACTCGTGATTTTCGCTTTCTTTAGCTTTACGTTATAATAAATAGATCCTCTAAAACCAAAAATCCTTCCGCCGAAAAATGTAGGTCGCTTATTTTGCGTGTAAAATTAGCATTTAAAGAAAGAAAGAAAAGCTTAATTTGAAATATAAAACGTACACATATAATAGAAAAAAACGTATACATACTTTGTTTTCGTAATATCATTTCCATTTCTGTAAGTTTAAAATATGTTTCAGTAAGGAAAACACGTGCAATTTATAGGCCTTCGCTTAGTATGTTAAGAATAAAATATTAAACATGTTGTTTAAGTTATAATCACCACAGCTCCCAACCATTGATGACAGAAAGCCTGGTAAAAATACGTATGTTTTATAAATATACATATATCAGTGAGTGTTAATATATGCGTTAATATATATGTGTTAATATGTGTTATTGTCTGTTACATGGATCCTATGACAGACATAGTTAATAGTCTCGTAAACAAAATACAATGTAGCATCGTGAAACTTTAAAATAAACGAATTGTGATATAACTCTAAAAACTCTAAAAATACAGATTTTTTTTTTTGATAACGTTTTAAAGGAATATAAGTACAACACAGCTTGCTTATGAAGTCAAAGTTATGACTAAATATGTGATCTTTCAGTAATATCGGCTGTACACTTGACTGTCTGATGCAAATGCGTCTCTTTCTTATTTTCAGTCAGCTTAGTTAATCTTATACCACCAAGAAACGTACCTATACTTGTATACAATAGTGTACTATTGTTGACTTACCTATATATATATATATTATTATTTTCTTTTCTAAACTGATATTAACGGAAAATTCACTTAACAAGTTAGCACAATTATTTCCTATATGATATTATATTGTACTCTATATGTTATTATTATATCGCTTACTCTTTCATCAATGCACTTTTAAGGATTCCGTTTTCTCCTGTAGGGAATCGAGCAAATTACAGTAAGAGGCCAGTTATTCGGTATCAGCAAGGGAAACAAGAAAACAAACACATGGTGTGTGATCAACTGAGGTAGACAGTGGTTTAGCAATAAGGGCATGAGTCAAGTTGCTAATTTCAAATAATACTTGCTGTGATATTTCGTTGTTTATTTTATGACTGAAATAAAGTTTCTTGTGTGAAAACCGTATTCAATAAATTTGCGATTAGCGGAAATACTTTATAAATTTGGGCGTGGCAGCAAATTGAATACATTCGCAAGTGGCAGAATCACTGAATAAATTGACTAGTGACAACACCACTCAAATATTTGCGAATGACGGAAACACTCGGGAAAATGCTATGGCTAGTGTTTAGAGACAAAGATAATTTCATTCACTTGTAGCAAATATTTAAATGATGATAAGAAAGTTGTTTGCTTAATATATAACGTCGGATACATCATGTTTGTTTTATGCATAAAGATAACAAACTGCGTATAGCATGTGTATTATAAAAACAAACCAATGGTAATAAAGATATATTTAAATGTTTGTATTTGAAAAAAATATCGCATTTACGTAGTAATGTATGAGATATGCGCACTCTCTTTACGGACGTTTGGTCAAAAACAGACTAAACGCCATTCATATTTATTGAGTTTTAATAGATATGTATATTATTTCGATATATATCGATAATATATCAATATTCCTATGAATAATTCTGGCATTATATCTGTTACTATCGTTTAAAACTAGTCTGCGAACTATTCATTAACAAGTTCTCGATGACTTGCATGATTACCAACACCGATAAGTCCTAGAATATCTAAATCATTTCCTTCCGGTAAACATTGGAGAAAATGTCAAAAATTTATTCGCATGAAATTACTACGGAAGCCTTTAGGGGAACTTTTATTATTATCTCGTGACAACAAAATTATATTTTGAAATATTATGAAATGTAAATACATGAATCAAAAGTTAAATCGCGACCTTAGATAAACAAAGTAATCATTCTTGTTACTTCGGCGTAATACAAAATAAATTGTGAGAAAAATGAATTAGAAACAAAGAAAAAAAAGAAAAAAGTTAAACTTGTGTGCACGAGGAAAAATAAGAAAATGAAAAATATCAGGAATGTTCTCTCCATGTTTTTACAAATATCTGCCTGTACAGTAGAATTAATGAGAGTGTCAAACTGAAAATAAAAGACCCTAATAATTCCGATAAATCATCGGGTTTTTTTTATTAATAAAGATATTTTTCTTTATTTTTAAGTTGATATATATTTTGTATTTTCTTTATATTGATTTAAATGAATACTATTGTGCATTTAGTGGACCAATTTATTTATATTCTTCTAAATACGTAAAACAATAAATGAACTAAATGACTGTCCTGGCATAAAGATATTGCAGCAACCGGTTGTAAAGTTGAAAACTGAAAAATACTTTTTTTAATTTGAAATTCTATCATATTGGACACAACGTCACATGCAGATAATATGCGCTTATGACATTATGATTTTTTTTCATAACGTTATCAAAATCTGGGGTAGAATTAAGATTCATATACACAAATGTTCTCTATCACTCATCTGTAAGTAATAAGCTATTTATGAAAGCGAGGCAGTAAAAGCATTTACAAGAATGATTCACACTAGGTTTAGAGTGTTAGAAATCACACAGTGATCTTGTAACTAGGTGTAAAATCCTAAAACTATCTGTCGATGATCTACATTATTCAGATTTATCATCTTGAAAGATACAAGAAAATAGTACCTCTTAGACTTCCGCCATTTGCTGACGTCACCGACATGGTCGATTTCTTCATTTCATCGGAATCTGTCGGACTATTTACTTTTGTTGACGCTGGTTCCGGGCTTGCTGTATCACTGACGTTATCACTAAATCCGCTCTCCTTAAGAAGTATGAAAATATAGATTACTTCCCTTTGCATATAAGAGTCAATGCAAATTTTCAAAAAAGTTTCCTTTTTTATATCTATTTCTGTAAATCAAACCCCAATGTTATTATGAATAAAAGACTATTCTTGAAATTATTACTAGTGTTTATGACTTTAGTTGTATTTGCTTTTTGTAATAAAACAAAACTTAAAATTCATTATTTTTGTAAATTGAAATATCAATGTAAGGAACTTTGTCATAATTACAGGAATGACTTCAAGCGTGTGACCCGTAGAAAGAGACGTTGGCATGTGATAGTCGGGAAGCGACATCTGGCGTTGTAAGGCAGCGCTACTGATAGAGGCAGAGCGTCCGTCATTACCGTCAACAGACGCCGAACGCGTCAATGGTCCACGTGCTATGCTGGCTTTCTGTAAAAACAGATGGGAAAGTAATCAATAATTGCTATGTACTGAAATATTTTGTGCAAAAAGCAGGGGGTCATTTTAAATTTGTGATTGTCTTATTTGGTTCGAAACAAAGTATTCACATTCTATGAATAATAAAATAAATGCGCATCTTTATTTAATTTAATGAATCAAGAACCAGTTATATTGATATAACTGATAAAACATACATGATGAAAGTTCAATCTCGTTTGGTTTACATGAATTTTTAATGATGTTTTTTTTGTAATGCTTTCAGCTTAATTGGCGGTCAATTTTAGGTTTACTTTGTTCTGATATTGTATTTCCGCAGGTAAAGGTTTCATGACATTGTATCAATATTGATAAATCAACATCAAGAGTATATTTTTATGTATTGCATTTAATACAATTTAATTACATCAAGTTCGTGTAGTCTTCGGTCCACTTCCCTTGCTAATGGAATGTCTTCATCTACGTCACATCCGGGATGCCATAGACCGGAACTAAGCACGAGTTGTCTTCTCTTATGGCAGACGTGACATACCCATTCCATTTCCTGAAATAAAATAATGAACGTACGTTTACCTAATAATTCAATATAATGCCCTAAGCTAGATCAACAGAAGAGTAAAAATAATAAAGTTCTACTAAGTGGGTTATTGGTGAACAAAATTAGTTCTCGTTGTGTCTTGGTTTATCGAATGCCTTGTGTAATACCAACATGTCGTATGAAACACTATAATTATACATATTCAGAAACCCAAGCGAGTGGCTATAATTAAACAAATCATGTTTTTTTGTCCCACTCTGGTAGGACTCTTTTCATCTAAAAAATATTCAGCAAAGCTGTCACATTCATTGTGGCTTCATTCAACATATTCTTTAAATGGAAATTCATTAAATCTAAGTGCACTCTGGAACTGAAATTTGATTATTCGCAGCAAATTGTTTGTGGCAGAAACCAAGTCATTCATCAACGTTATTGATTCAACAATAGAAGAAGAAAGCTGACAGTTGGCCTGTTTACTCTGTAATTAATACGCATAAGCGCGTAGTACTTGTTGTAGTCTCTCGACCAATGAATCAAACATAAAACTATGGCTTTTGGTAAATAAATTTGCTGGCCTATTCATTTCAGTTTTATTGTCTTTTTGTTGATGATTTTTCTATGAAATAGATATATTTTGATATAATTGTTGTTTATTTCTTACTTTTTATAGTACTGTTATATCAATTCCAATCAGGAATTTGAAAACTTATTTTCAAAGTAGGATGAGGGAGGGTTCTTACGTTTTTTGGGAGTTTTTTTATTTTTATCTTTTATTTTTTTTTTGCAATTTATTTTCATGTTATTGTTTGTTATATGTTTATTCCTCGTAACTTACTTAAATAGCTGTCGTACATGACATTGATAAGTGTCAATTACATGTAAGAATAAATTATAAATTTATTGATAAAGTTAAACAAACACTATAAAAATATATATGTATTTAATAAATCTGGCATGGCTTCCTGTCACTTTAAATAACGATTGCTTTTCGAATATAATTACGTTCTTCTCTACTTTTCTTACCTACCAACTCAATCATCGGTTATACGATATCTTTGATGTTTTCTTAAATTAGCATGACAAAAGAAGTTAATAATGCAGACGATTCTGTAATGCATTTTCTTAGAAAATATTTCCCCAATCAATCTCGCGCAGTGCACGTGCACTTGGAATTAAGCGCCTTAATATCACTGGGGAAATACTACGCAAATTTAATGGTAAAACGGGGGACGTGGTAAATGAGCGGGGTATAACCGTACGTATGCCCCTGTTTGTCCAGTCAATGCGGCGGAAATGTTTGGTCCAACCAGCAATGCGGATGTATTAAGCGGAGATATAACGTGATGTTTGATCGACGCATATGATTATTTTATCATGAAAATTGTATACATTTCGTGTCAAATCTATGGAATGGTAAATCAATTAATTAAGGTTACATTGTAGACTTGATGGCCCTAGATACAGAACAAGGAAGCAATTTGACATTTTCTACTGCCGTTCTTCTGCTGTCCGATTTTCCCATAAATTGTCTGTATCAAAATGCATAAAACAAAGTTGATTGATTTTGTTTTTGTTTGTTTGTTGTTGTTGTTGTTTTTTTTTTACTTATTTTTTTATATCTATTCTTTTGTTTTTTGTGTGTTTTTTTTTCGTTATTTTTATTCAGATATTTTCCTGATGCAGCAATAATCAAATGCTTTAACAAATATGAATCCATTGCAAAATGCATACTTGAAAAAGATGACGTCAAGGTCAGCAATGATAGATTGATTCCTAGATATAATGACTTTTATGTGCTCTTTTCTATTATGGATCATGTTTTTTTTGCATAATAAATAACATATTTTGTACTAGCAAAACTGAAAATATTTCTTACAATTGCAATAAACTTGTCCTTAACATGTGCAATTCCAAGAAGAATGAAGATGATTCTCAAATAAATGCATTAGACTTAGACAATATAGGGGATCAGCAAATTGCACAAGAAATAATGACGTCATCTTTAGATCTTCTTGATTCTTTTTTTTAATGGTCATTTCCGATGTACTTAATGTAGAGCCAAACTTTAGGCTAAAGGAAATATTAACTGAAATAAAAACGACAACTTGGTAGAGTTTTCTTGTCATATCTTTACAACGGACTTATATTCATCTTATTTCTAAAACCGTGTCTATATAGAGAAAACAATTAAATTTCATGTCAACAAAACAACCATGAAATTAATTTATAAGAGGAAATTAAGCATGTTTAAATCACTCAAAGTGCTGTGTTTTTGGCAGAGCAATGTTTATATATAGTCTGTAATGAACATGAAAGCAATACTGGTATAAACCTTGAAAGATAGCCTTGCAATAATAAGTATTTCATAATGAAGCTTATAAAATGGCCAACAATTGTTAAAAATTGTAGAATGAATATATCAAGAACGAAATACGAGTATAAAAATCATAATATACCTTTTTACCGTTGCATTGAAAACACACTTTTTATGCCCCAACGCATACCGTAATAATCAATATTAAAGACATAATTACTATGTTCATCTTAAAAAATTTTATGGCATAAATTTATTGAAATCTATGAAATCCTTACTGAATATGTCTAATTCAATAAAATATATACTTCATTCTATAATATAGGCCAAAGAAAGTAAGTCCTTTCTTAAAAAAACTGCCAGTTTTTTGTTGTTTTTTGTGTTGTTTTGTATTGTTGTTGTCGTGTTGTTTTTATTGACACTATATATTCATTATTGACACTATATATTCATATTGTGGCCTTCTATAGTGTATCGAGAATAAAGCATAGCATGTCTAATTTCATTGAAGAAGAAACATGTTGATTTTATATTATAAAGAGACAGTGCAGCAATTTTCAATATTTTCAAATATCAAAAGTGAGCACAATATACCTTTAATATAACCTTAGTCACGGAACAATTAACTAACAGTTCATAATTACAATTATACTTTTCAGAAGTCCTTACAAAAGTTCTTTTTAATAACAAATTTATTGACCTTTTCGCCACATGAAAATAGCAATTCTGCCGTTTATTGCATATTGCAGACGACAACTGGCATTTCAACATTTGCTAAGGCACCGAGAAATATCATCACTCTCTTTGATAAACCTTACAGAGTAAAAAGGCAATAGGTTTAATATCTAAATAAATGGAAATTGAAAATGTCTTCATAAAAGGCTATGGAAAGAAAATTTAAGTTTAACTGTGTCGAGTATGTATTTGTGTATATTTATAAGATATAATGCGATCGGTGGTTTCTCTTTTGTGGGATTCATCTGTTGAATTTTACAAAATTGTATCGACTTTAACCGTTAAATAATACCGATTTCGTTGTCACAACTGTAAAGTATGCACACGCTAGAAATACAGTAAAACTGGTATTTGCATTTAAATCGGAACTTCCCTGAGGTCCAAAATCTAAAAAACATAAAATTGAGATTTCTTACTAAGATCAGCTACGGGAACTTAAAACAGGAAACCAGGACTTTAGAATTAGAAAATATAAAATGAAATACAATGTACATTGAAAAATCGTATTTTTTGCAATTCCTGGGCCGATTTGAGTTAAAATGGATTGCAACGCTTTTCACTCTTGAACCATTTTTCACAATTAGAAAAAATATTGATAAAAAGAAAGAGTAAGCGAATGATCTGAGATGTTGCACACAAGTCGTTGTTCTAGACATACATTAAATGAAACAATTGTCTTGAAAAGGTATTTCAAGACCCGTTTTGTCAAAATACCTCAAATGGGTCCCTTTAGTCATTCAAAATGCTGCGCTATCATATAAATTTTATAGTGTGATGTTTATGTTTGTACTGGACAGCGCAGAAATATGCTCTGATCTTGTGTTGGTTTTTCTGTTATGACACACTAGAATATCATCAAAATGGCTTTTAAAAGTAAGTTATAATATCAAAATTTATTAGAGGAACAAAGTTTGGTAGACTTTAAAACTTATAATCAAATCAATGATGAACCAATCAAGAGCAGTTCAGAACGCAATGGAGCAAAATAATGACGTTCTTGGTTTTACGTCAGAACTCACTGTTAGACTGGAATTTGATATAAGTTCTTGAAACGCAATTGATAGACTACACGATCTAATAAAAAATAAAGCCAATACCGGTCAATTGGCAAGTATTCTTTAAGAGTCTTTGCAGAAGTTTATATGATTATAAATTTATTTATTTGATTAGACATGAAACAGCAATTTTACAGTTTATTGCATTTTGCAGACGACAACAGTTCTTATTTCATTCATTTCAATATTTCCTGGAACGGTAAGAAATCTCGTCTGTCTGATACACAATAGAGTGCAACAAAGTTAGGAATTTGAGTAGGCTTGATATCTAAATACAATGTTAAAAGAAACTTTCTCTTGACACAGACATAAAAATATTAGGTTTAACATAAATTAGATAAAATTACTACATGATACTTGTTGTGGAGCCTGAATTTTATATCAAAGATTATATTCGCTTACACAGCTAAGTGATCCAAAAGTTGGCGTCACTATAGAAACGGGTGCAAAGTTTGAAATTTTAAGTCACTGACTGGCAAAGCAAAACATGTACTTTTATTCAATTTGAACTCAGTTCATTCAGCAAATAAAAAAGTTTAATATCTGATCTACCAAGTCTTTATTATATTGTTGCGTAGGACCAATCATTTGTGGAATGTAAAACCTTTCTGTTCAAATATCTTCATTTTAGAAAGACGCACGTTATTTGACCATGACAATTTCGATTTTACTAATACTACCGTAAACTATTGCAATAAACAGTATTAACACGGATATTCTGAAAGACAAGATCATGCAGACAATTTCTGCAGAATGAAGGACGATCGCGAATTTTCACATTATCAGAAATGGTATCTTTTAATCTAATGGTATCATACCATTCTTTTTTAATGCATGTCAAAAACAAATCCGCTGTAATCAACGGCATGGACTTGATGGCTCTAGATAGAACTCAAAACAGC